TCTTCATTTTGCTGATCTTTTAATTTTTTTTGATTTAATTCTGTTGATTTCTTCTTGAATTTTAATTATTTCTCTTCTCCTACTAGTTTTGGGTCTGGTTTGTTGCAGTTTTTCTAGATCCTTGAGATGCATTGACAGCTTATTTGTTTGGTGTCTTTCCAATTTTTGTAGGCACCTATTGCTATAAACTTTCCTCTTAACACTGCTTTTGCTGTATCCTGTAAGTCTTGATATGTTGTGTTATCTTTATTTGCTTCCAGAAAGTTTTTGATTTCTCTTTGATTTATTCTATGACCCATTGTTCATTCAGAAGCATGTTGTTCAGTCTCCATGTGTTTGCATACTCTCTAGGGATTCCTGAGTTGCTAATTTCCAGCTTCATTCCATTGTAATCTGAGAAGATGCTGGTATGATTTCGATTCCTTTGAATTTGCTGAGACTTACTTTATGGCCTAGTAGAATGTGGTCAATCCTAGAGTAAGTTCCATGTACTCCTGAGAAAAAATGTGTATTCTTCAAGTGTATGATGAAAAGTTCTGTAGATATCTGTTAGATCCATTTGGGCTATAGTGTTGATTAAATCTGCTGTTTCCTTGTTGATCAACTGTCTGATTGATCTGTCCATTGCTGATAGTGGAGTACTGAAGTCCTCCAATACTATTGTATTGGAGTCTAGGACTCCCTTTAAGTCCCTTAACATATCTTTTAAATAACCCAGTGCCATGTAATTAGGTACATATACTTTAGAATAGTTACATCTTCCTGTTGAATTGATCCCTTAATCATTATATAGTGTCCCTCTTTGTCTCTCTTAACAGTTTTTGTGTTAAAGTTTATTTTGTCTGAAATTAAGATGGCTACACCAGCTCTTTTTTGGTTTCTGTTGGCATGGAATATCTTTTTCCAACCTTTCACTTTCCATCTGCATGCACCTTTGTTTGAGAGATGTCTTTTTTGTAAGCAGCAAATAGATAGGTTTTGTTTTTTAATCCATTCAGCCAGTCTGTGTCTTTTAACTGGAGAGTTGAGGACATTAACATTCAGTGTGACTATTGATAAATAGTGACTTTGCCCTGCCATTTTTCCAAAGATATTTCTAATATATACTTTGAACTTCCTGTGATCTTTTACTGGGAGATTTTCTTCCTTTACCTTCTTTCGTATCGACGACCATGCTTCTGTGTTTCTGTGTGTAATATATCTTTAAGCATCTTTTGCAGGGCTGGACGAGTGGTGACAAATTCTTTCAGTTTCTGTTTGCTATCAAAGGTCTTTATTTCACCCTCATTCACAAATGAGAGCTTTGCAGGATATAATATCCTGGGCTGGCAGTTTTTTTCTCTTAGTACTTGGGCTATATTTCACCATTCCCTCCTAGCCTGTAGGGTTTCTGATGAGAAGTCTGCTGTAGGGTGCTGGTGCCATGGTGCACTAGGTTAATCCTCCGCCTGCGGCACTGGCATCCCATATGAGTGTTGGGTTCTAGTCCCAGTTGCTCCTCTTCCAGTCTAGCTCTCTGCTGTGGCCTGGGAGGGCAGTAGAGGATGGCCCAAATCCTCGGGCCCCTACACCCACTGGAAGACTAGGAAGAAGCACCCGGCTCCTGGCTTTGGATCAGTGCTGCTCTGGGCTTTGTGGCCATTTGGGGAGTGAGCCAACAGAAGGAAGATGTTTCTCTGTCTCTCTGTCTCTCTAATTATCTGTAACTGTACCTGTCAAATAAATAAATAAAAAGAAATCTGCTGTGAGTCTAATCAGAGAACCTCTGAGAGTATTCTGGCATCACTCTCTTGCACATTTTAGAATCTTTTCTTTATGTTTCACTGTGGTGAGTTTGATCACAATGTGTTGTGGCGAGCATCACTTCTGGTCATGTTTATTGGGAGTTCTTGTGTTTCCTGTGCTTGGATGTCTCTTTCTTTCTTCAAAATCAGGAAGTTTTCTGCTAGTATCTCACTAAAAAGGCCTTCTAATCCTTTCTCTCTCCATGCCTTCAGGAACTCCTAGAACCCGAATGTTGGTTTTTTTAATAGTATCCTGTAGATTCCCAAAAATATTTTTTAGATTTCTAATTTCCTCTTCTTTTTTTTTTTTGGTTTGACTGTACACTTTCCTGTGTTATGTCTTGTAAGTCCAATATTCTCTCTTCTACCTCACTGATTCTGTTTTTAAGGCTCTCAAATGTGTTTTTCATTTGTTCTATTGAATTCTTCTTTTCATTTTGATTTCTCTTCAATATCTCAATTTCATGTTCTACTAAATTTCTCATTTCATTTTGATTCCTTCTTAAGATTTCAGTTTCATGAGAGAGGTTTTCTGTCATGTCCTGCATGGATTTCAGTAGTTCATTCATTTGTTTTTGATAACTTCTAAATATTCTTATCATAAATTTTTTGAGTTCCATTTCTTGCATTTCTTCTATCTCATCATCTTCATAATCTTGTATAGGAGTGTCACATTTTTTGGGGGAGCATCATGTTGTCTTCCTTGTTCTTGTTTCCTCGGTTTTTACATTCGTTGTTTGGCATTGTGGAGATATTCTTTGGTTTCTTATTTTTTTTTTTTCTTATTTGGTTTCTTATTTTTTTTCACTGCTATGGCTTTTCTTGTTATACTGTGATTCTAGATTAAGTGGACTATCTGCTTTTGGTGAATCTCTAGAGGCTTGTGGTGGGTGTGGCCAAAGGGCTCTGCTCAGTTCTTCAGGATTAAGGGTGTACCTAAGGTGACGCACCCAGGTTTAACATGGTAAATCTTCTCTCTCTTTCTTTAATCAGAAGGGAAGTAATTCTGCTCAGCTGAGTTCTTCTCCTCATCGGTGATCAGTACCTGAGCACTAGCCCCAGTGGGTGTAATATTTGTCTGCTCTGTCCCAAGGACCACACAAAGGATCTGTGCGATCCTCAGTGTAAGCTCAGATTCCCTTACAGTGTATCTCAGTGGATAGGCAGGGCTACCCCAGCTTGTGGCATCTCCCACTGAGACTACTCATGTCTCAGCCACACTGTCAGTTCTCCTACACACCCTCAGTTTTTTTTTTTTTTTTTACAGTCCCGGTTCATAAGCTCCACACATTCACTAGCTCTTTGTCTCCTGTTATTATCCCCACCAGAGTCAGGTTTTTCTGCTCAGCTGAGGGTGGATGCAGCCCGAGCTGGCACAGCTGTTATGTATGTCCAAAATGGCGCCGCCTGCTCTATTGGCTCACATGCCTTTGTAAGGTGAGTGGAGCGAAAGAATTGTGTCCAAACTGTCTTTTATTTTTTCTCTCCTCTAGTTAGGCTGGTGTACTTTCTTCCACGGGGCTTCAAGCCTCATTCCCTCTAGGCTCTTCCTGCCACTTTTCTGCCAGTTTCTCGGCCTACTGCAGTTTCGTCTCACCTCTCTTTCCAGCGCTGGTGCAGAGACTCTTGGCAGCTGAGCTCTCGAGCTGTGAGTACCTGTGCCCTCCACATAGATCCACCGTGTCCCTCTAATTCCGGAAGAGTTTCCTCTGCCGTGTTTTCCCTAACTCTTCCCTGAGGTTACACTATCTCCACTCTTACTAAATTATCTTTTCCTGGACTATCAGTGAGCTCCCTCCCTATTCCGCCATCTTGGAACCTCCCTCAGCTAGATAGGATTTTAAAGACCATCTGGTTCAACCCTTTCATTTTACAGATGAAGAAACAGGGACCTGGAGTGGGCAGGCAATGTAGTAAAGATTGCACAACCAAGGAGAAGCCAAGCCAGGATTAGGTCCCGTTTCTGACAACTCCTGATGGTGAGTGAGTCACCAGCAAAAGCAGTTGGGCAAGACTGAATACCAAAGGCTGATCAAATTCCCACAAGTATTGTGCTGTGCTAGAAATTACAAAGTCAGCTTCCCATCCAGCTTCCTGCTCGGAAGACAGCAGATGATTGCACAAATACTTGGGACCCTGCTACCCATGCAGGAGCCTCAAATGGAATTCCTGGCTCCTAGTTTCTCTTTGGCCCAGCCCCAGCATTGCAACCATTTGGTTGAACCAGTGGATGGAAATCACTCATTCTGTCTCTTCCTCAGTCTGTCACTCTGCCTTTTAAATAAATAAATAAATAAATAAAAATTTTTAAAAAGATAAAATATGCTTAGAAATAAAAAAAAAAAAACAGAGCAGAGTCATTTGAGGAAACCACTACCACAATACTGATGATGATGATGATGATGATGGTAGTAGTAATGGCAATACCATTAATATTATACTATGAACTCTTTTCACCTGACAGGCAAATTCTAAATGCTCAGTGTGCATCAAGTCGTTTAACTCTTGCAAACTGCCCTGTTTTACAGTTGAGAGAACAGTCGCTAAAGAGACTCGGGAAATTAGCCTAAAGTTGTGTGGTTAATAATACTGAGGACAGAGTTTGAACCCACACATTAAGTTCACTGCCCAAGTTCTTAAATACTCAGCAATGTAGTATCCCCTTTACCCTGGACTTCTGTATATATTATGTATATGTTTATGTATATGTATATATATATGATGTATATGTTTATGTGTATATTTCGTGAGAGAGACAGACAATGGAAATAGAGAGAGAGAGAGAGAGAGAGAGAGAAAGAGAGAGCAAGCTTCTCAGCTGGTTCATCTCCGAATGCCTGCAATGGCTGGTGCTAGGCCATGCTGTAGCCTGGAATTCCCTCCAGGTCTTCTATGCAGGTGGTAGGGATCCAAGCACTTGGGCCATCATCTGCTGCCTCATAGAGTCTGCATGGAAGTGGGGAGAGTTGGAAAAGGGAGCTAGAACTGGGAATAAAACCTAAGTACTTGGCTGTGGGATACAGGCATATTAAACAGCTTTTTACCCACTAGGCCAAATGTCCATTCTCAAAATTGAATTTCTGACATGTAGAATCAAGTGGGAGACACATGGACATCTGGGGAAGCTGATGACAAGCATTTCCTCCTCTTTTTGTGAAAGTGCATGCTGGATGCAATATTTTGGGCCATAGAAGTGAAGAACTCCCATCGGCTTACCTGATCAGCGACTCTGTAGACCTCTTGCCTCTTGCTACAGTCACACTTATAGGGAAAGACTTTCACATCACTCTTTTCTTTGATCAATCTGCATGTTTCCATATTGCCTTCTTGATTAATGTCCCAGAGGACTAAAATGGCCCCAAGGTTGGCAAAATGTATGGCCAAGAGCCTCCCAAGTCCACTTCCAGCTCCTGTTATAAGTACAATTTCTCCAGCAACGTTCTTTTTGTTTTTGGGAATTATCTTGCAAACTAAAGACTCAAAAAGGTAATATAGAAATTTTCCCAAAAATATGCTGGTGTCCACAATTGCATTCATGTTGATGATTGAAGAAGGGAATGTCCTAATAAGGAAAAAAGTAACTGATAAATCCATTACATTATGACAACAATTGCAGTAGATATAAAGCCTTTAATACAAAGGACATCAATTCTCCAAAATATAGATTGTAACAATAATTGCCAAATGTATTGAAATTTTAAGTCATATAAATAATGATTGTGAGAATATTTTCTGTTAGGAAGAACTTTCCCAATTTATAGGGTCCTTCCTTAGGCATAAGTTAATTTGAACTATAGGCAGGACACAGGTTACTAGGATAGTTTGACAGAGACACAAAGTCTTTGCCTGTTGACTTGCCCAACATTATGTGACTAGCAAACCCAGATATTGCATTCCAGTCAGTTTTCTGTTTCAGGAACACTTTTGATGCTCTTAAATAAAAATTTGCTTTTCATTAGGCAAGTGTTCTGTAATATAAATAAAACAATACACATAAAGCATTTACACATTTTTGTCTGATCCCTACAATATCTCTCTGAGATAGACAATCCAAGTGTAATTATTATTATTTTAGATTGAGGACACTGAGAAAAATGAATATTGAGTAGCTTTACTCAGAGTCATACACAGGTAGCCAATAAAATAGTCAATATTGAGGATCAAGGACAATGGTGTGAATTGTGGTTTTACACTTAGAATAGGCTTTTCTTGGCTCAATACTTCCACTTCCTTTTCCCAGAACCACCTTAAAACAAAAAGAGGGATGCTTTATGTTTGGTGACAATTTGCTGATTTTTTAAAAAAATTAAATTCTGTTTTATAAGGCTACTTCAGAAAGTTAGTAGAAAATGGAATTAAAAGATAGATTAATTCTGGTCAACCATTTTGAAAGCCATGCATACAAACGATGTCCAAAATGTTCATTGAAAATGTGCATTAGAAGAGAAACTATGTATTTATTTTAGTTCTATTTTCCTAAGAACTTTTTGAAATAGCCTCATAGTATTTTAAAGATTTATTCTCATTTTTAAAAAATTATTTATTTATTTATTTATTTATTTAAAAGGCAGAGCCAAAGAGAGGCAGAGGCAGAGAAGGAGACCCATCCACTGGTTCATGCTCCAAATGGTCACAACGGCCAGAACTGGGCTGATCCAAAGATAGGAGCCTGGAACTTCTTCCAGGTCTCCCACATGGGTGCAGAGGCACCGGTTTGGGTCCCAGCTCTCTGCTATGGCCTGGGAAAGCAGCACAGGATGGCCCAAGTATTTGGGCCCCTGCACCCATGTAGGAGACCCGAAAGAAGCTCCTGGCTCCTGGCTTTGGATTGGCCCAGCTCTGGTCACTGGGGCCATTTGGGGAGTGAACCAGTGGATAGAAGACTTCTCTCTCTATCATTCCCTCTCTCTGTCTGTAACACTGTCTCAAAATAAATAACTATTAAAAAAAGAATAAAAAAATAAAACAAACCAGAAGGGCTGACATTGTGGCACAGTAGGTTAAACTGCTGCTTGAGACATCACACATCTCATTTTGGAATGCCAGTTCTAGTCCTGGCTGCTCCACTTCCCATCCAGCTTCCTGTTTGGAGACAGTAGATGATTGCACAAATAATTGGAACCCTGCTACCCACGAAGGAGCCTCAAATGGAATTCCTGGCTCCTAGTTTCTGCTTGGCTCAGCCCCAGCTTTGCAGCCATTTGGGGAGTTGAACCAGTGGATGGAAATCTCTCTCATTCTGTCTCTTCCTCTGCCTGTCACTCTGCCTTTTAAATAAATAAATAAAATTTTTAAAAAGATAAAATATGCTTAGAATTAAAAAAAACAAGGTCTTGGCAAAGCGGAAGTTCTCTCCTTCCTTCAGAGAAAGGTACCTCCTTCTTTGATGACCTGATCTTTCCACTGGGATCTCACTCGCAGAGATCTTTCATTTAGGTCATTTTTTTTTTTGCCAGAGTGTCTTGGCTTTCCATGCCTGAAATACTCTCATGGGCTTTTCAGCCGGATCTGAATGCCTTAAGGGCTGATTCTGAGGTTAGAGTGCTGTTTAGGGCATCTGCCATTCTATGAGTCTGCTGTGTATCCAGCTTGTCTAAATATGATCAGAGTTGGTGAACTCAAAAGGCCTCCATATCCTTGGCAACTCATGACAAGAGCCTATAGTGATTACTGATGCCATAAACAAGAGTGTCAATTTGTTAAGTCAACAACAGGAGTCACTGTGCATTTACTCCTCATGTAGGATCTCTGTCCGTAATGTGCTGTACATTGTGATTTAATGCTATAACTAGTACTGAAACAGTATTTTACACTTTGTGTTTCTGTGTGGGTGAAAACTGTTGAAAGCTTTAATTAATATATGCTAAATCAATCTTCTGTATATAAAGATAATTGAAAATGAATCTTGATGTGAATGGAAGGGGAGAGGGAGTGGGAGAGGGGAGGGTTGCGGGTGTGAGGGAAGTTATTGGGGGGGGAAGCCATTGTAATCCATAGGCTGTAGTTTGGAAATTTATATTCATTAAATAAAAGTTAAAAAAAAAAGAATTTAAAAAAAAAACAGAGCAGAGTCATTTGAGGAAACCACTACCACAATACTGATGATGATGATGATGATGATGGTAGTAGTAATGGCAATATCATTATTATTATACTATGAACTCTTTTCACATGACAGGCAACTTCTAAATGCTCAGTGTGCATCAAGTCGTTTAACTCTTGCAAACTGCCCTGTTTTACAGTTGAGAGAACAGTTGCTAAAGAGACTCAGGAAACTAGCCCAAAGTCGTGCAGTTAATAATACTGAGGACAGAGTTTTACCCACACATTAAGTTTACTGCCCAAGTTCTTAAATACTCAGCAATGTAGTATCCCCTTTACCCTGGAAAACAAACAAACAAAAGTTGAGTCTTCGCATGACTTCTACTTCTTTTTGAGGCAGTTGGGAATTAACTTTGTGTTGTCCCTGAGGCACAGCTAAGGATGCCAACAGACTCAGGCTGCCTTTGTCTAGCTGTTAGTTTCATCTAGCAAAAATTCCCACTGTGATAAGATAGAAAGAAAGCATTGTTGCCAGAACACCATTGGGAATATTGATGTGAGTTTTGGAAGGGAAGAGTGATCCCCAGGAAAACACGTGAGCTTTCATTGCATCCATTGAGTATTTATTGAACACAAGTTGGGTTCAGACCATTTTGGTGTTGATTTTGGAGATGCTATGTTACAGGCCCTGCCTTAAGGAGGACGGAGTGTGGTTTTGGAACCTGGCAAGTAAACACAGGGCTGCAAAATAGTAAGTGATGGAGTCTGAGCCACAACCAAGGGCATGGTCTAGAGTTGTATGATTCAGAAAGTGGTTTTCAGTAGGGGTGTGAAGAATAACGGGCAGAGCAGATTGCGTCTGAGTCTTGTCAAGAAGGCTGCTTTCAAGACTAAGCAAGGAGAAAAGACATTACAGATCAACTGCACGGACTTATTTGGTGCTATTGAGAGTATTAACTATAGGAGAGGTCTTCAAAAAGTTCATGGAATTGTGTATTATGGAAAAACTACTCATGATTTTAGAATATTTTGTGCCAAAATCAATTTATCATTTAATTCAATTTTTCCACAAATGTTTAAAGTACCTTGAAGTTCTAGAAGGTGTCATCCCTAAAAAATTTTAGATTCATCTGCTTACCTTAATGTTCACTAAGAGTTAATGCAGATTTCAAATTTGCAATCAGGAAAGAGATCAGTTCCCTCTCTTCTAATCTTACATAGACTTATCTGGCTCATGCACAATTCTAGAAACATGTAGTAAATTACAAAGTTGAAAGGAAACCATATTTTACCATCCTCTTAAAACAAATATAGATATGATGGAGAAGCCTTTCTGAGTCACAGGAATTTTATATGGAGAATAAGACAGGATCAGGACTTTCTCATTCCTTTTCTGTACAAGAAAGTTTGTTCTCAAGGTAGATGGTCATGATCGATCTTGGAGTAAATTCAAGGAGCTTTCTATCAAAATTATTACATTTCAGAAACCTAGTGTTGTGCTCTGGGGCCACATTGAGGACAAGATGTTCAGTATTTTTTCAATCCTTCGTTGTTCAAATGTTCCCGGATAAGAGATTACATGATTAGACCACTGAAAGCATTCTATTTTGGAGCAAAAGAAAAACATATGCAAGAGCCCTGATGTAGAAGGTGCTGGTATTAAAAGATTATTGCTCCAGGTGGATCACTGGGCAACTGTGACAACAAGGAAGTCAGGAAAACAATTATGAAGCGTTATGATGTGCAAACATTTATTAATGCTAAATGACACTGTGTACCTTTCGAGCCTTATTTGATTTGCTTAGAAAAATAGCTCTGTGGGGGTAAGAATAAGAGCCAGTTGGGATATAACTCACCAAGTTCTTGCTGTTTGTAAGTAGAAGTGGGATTGGAGCCCAGACTCTATGCTTCCAGAGCTCCTACATTTTTGGCCACTACATACATAACATCCCTAAATAACTTTCAGTAAACTTGGCTTTGAATTCCAAGAACTTCTTTCATTTTTCAGGCATGTACTGAGTGCTCTGGGTTAAATGATAGGCCATGAGAGTGGAGTATTAGCACCATGTCACACAGGTCACATAGGGCAGAGTGAGCAGGATTCAAAGCATGGATTCAACTGTTGGCCCCGCGACCTACTGGCTGAGTGCTCTGGGTATGTTTTGCCTTACTGATCATCTGTTTATTATCTGTGAAGTGGGCATAACATCTAGCTCCAAGGAAAATACACATCGAAATAACAAATGTAGGAAAACATTCTGCTGGTTGTAAATGCCATGCAAATATTACTTTGACACTTGCACAAGAGCCTCTTTCATGGTGATGCTGAGTTTGTAGCCAGTCATTCCTAAACATGTCCAACATCAAGGCACAGAAAGCCTTTCTGTACTGTTTAGGGTTGTGCCTTGACTATCAAATTGCTAAGAGGGCTGGGAAGAGGGGTTTGCATGGGCTTTCATCTAGGTCATATACTCCCTGTTAGCTGTTGGTAGATGTAGGACCCTCTCAAGAGCCAGGTACTCATATGCACATCCAGTAACACAAACAAGCCAAATACAGGCACTTGTTCATGTGACCACTAGCACATACAAGCCACATACAGGCCAAATTTAGGTGCTCATGTGCACCACCACTTACACACACAAGCCAAATACTGGATCTTATTTGCATGTCCAGTAGCATATAGAAGACAAATAGGGGTACTTATATGCAAGATCACTGGCACACACAAGCCAAATACAAAGCAAATATAGATGCTTGTTAGCATGTTCACTGGAACATACACAAGCCAAATACAAGCACTTGTACACATGATCATTAGCACACACAAGCCACATATGGACCTAATACAGCACTCGTATGAACATCCACCTGCACACAGAAGCCAACTACAGGTGCTGTGTGCACATTCAGTGGCACACTCAAGCACTTTCCCTCTGTTTTAACACCTCTACCCCTCAGTTTGCCAAAAGCCACAGGAGTGAATCAAAACAATTAAAAAAGAATAGTAGGCTGGCGCCACGGCTCACTAGGCTAATCCTCCGCCTTGTGGCGCCGGCACACCGGGTTCTAGTCCCGGTCGGGGCACCGGATTCTGTCCCGGTTGCCTCTCTTCCAGGCCAGCTCTCTGCTGTGGCCCAGGAGTGCAGTGGAGGATGGCCCAAGTCCTTGGGCCCTGCACCCCATGGGAGACCAGGATAAGTACCTGGCTCCTGCCATCAGATCAGCGCAGTGCGCTGGCCGCAGCACGCCAGCCGCGGCAGCCATTGGAGGGTGAACCAACGGCAAAGGAAGACCTTTCTCTCTGTCTCTCTCTCTCACTGTCCACTCTGCCTGACCAAAAAAAAAAAAAAAAAAAAAAAAAAAAAAAAAAAAAAAAGTAAAGAGATACCAGAGTTAATGACAGAATTTTTTAATGCCTCTATTTAGGAGTCACAATAAATCATGCTTAGAGAAACTGGCTCTCAGAAGCAGGTAGCTGGCATTTCTCTGGGCAGCCAAAGGGCTGAATCTTACCTGCACAAAAGCTGCACTTGGGGAGCCTGAGTGTCCTTACAGAGGCCGAGGGAAACAGAGCTCATGTCAGCAGCCAGAAGCTGTCTCTTAAGTAGCTTTGGTCTTAATTGGTCTTCCTACGCCTTTTCATACCTGTCTAGGTGCCAGGTAAAAAGTGGCAAGCATGAGGAATTGTCTTTGCCTAACTCCTGTTTGCAAAGTAGGGCATACAATTTATGTTTTCATTCCCAAGGTGGCTTGGCATATGGGTGTGCCCTGTGATTTACAGGCAGCCATTATTTCAGCTCGCCTGTGGGTATCCTGGGATCTTTGTTCCTGCATCAAGAGCACAAGCACGTCCTTATTTCAATTAGGAAAATGTGAAATAAAGTTGTTGACTCATATAAACAATTGGATGGTCTGGACACACAATTTACCTCAGATTTTTATTATGAAAACTTTTCAGCACACAGAAAACTTGAAGATATGGCACAGAAATGTTCCAAAGGACTACACTTAGACTGGACATTTGGACAATTATTTTCTCCTCTTCCTTTCTATCTCTGGCAGGACTGTTTGTAAGGAAGTTGTAAATATCATGATATTGTACTGTGAGTACACATTACTTACTTCCTAAGAAGGAAGTTATCTTATGTAATCTCAATCAAATTATCTGGCCTAAGAAAATTAACATGAATTCTTTTTTTTTTTTTTTTTTTTTTTTTTTTTTTTTTACAGGCAGAGTGGACAGTGAGAGAGAGAGAGAGACAAAGAGAAAGGTCTTCCTTTTCCGTTGATTCACCCCCCAGTGGCTGCTGTAGCCGGCGCACTTCGCTGATCCGAAGCCAGGAGCCAGGTGCTTCCTCCTGGTCTCCCATGTGGGTGCAGGGCCCAGGGACTTGGGCCATCCTCCACTGCCTTCCTGGGCCACAGAAGAGAGCTGGACTGGAAGAGGAGCAACTGGGACAGAATCCGGCGCCCTGATCGGGACTAGAACCCGGGGTGCCGGCGCCACAGGCAGAGGATTAGCCTATTGAGCCGCGGTGCCTGCCAAACATTAATTCTATACTACTCTCTAATATTCTTATTCAAATTTCACCATTTGTCCCAAAGGTCCCATCGAGATTCCTGTGTTGCATAAGTTGGGATATTTCTTTAAGTATCTTTTTTTTTTGTCTAGAAAAGTCCTACTACATCTTTCTAAAAAGTGTATTTATTTAGATATCACTGACTTTTTGGAGTCCAGGCCAGGTGTCCTACAGAATGCCTTTTAGTCTCCATTAGTCTGACTTTTCTCATGGGGTCATTTAACTGGACTTATCTCCCTTGTGTCATCTGTAAACTTCAAACTAGATTTAGAGGATTTATTATATTGCAACCAAACCTTTTTGGGGACAGACAATGTCATACATAATGTTCAACATGTCAGCATTGCACAGCTTCGTGTCTCATGTCAGACTGTTCCACTCTCAGTGAGGACATTGAAAAATGCACCAGCAAGTGCATTTCTCCATGGATTTTGATGCCATGGAACACCTCTTCTTTTTTTGAACACCTCTTTTTGTTCATTGTGGGCTTCTACCCAAAGTGTCTCCCTTTGGGATCTCCACCCTGTTCTACTCCCTTGATCAGGTCACACATGTCACTCTGCCTCTTGAAGCCACTCAGCAATTTCCTCTCTCTTCTCTGACTTGCCTGTAGGCCTTTCTGTCCAAACATGGCTGTCAAATCCTCTCCAGACAGTGGGCCCATTGCTCTTGTACTGTCCTGCATGTCTTCCTTTCTTTGGATGAATCCTCCAGGATTGATATTTGTGTCTCAACCATGACCTTCAAAGGTCTGTTACGAAACTCATAGCCCTGATTTCGACTCTTGTTCTGGTTAAGTAATTTTTTAATCCTCCTTTCGCTTGGGCAATAAATCTCAGAGGCAGAGGATTTCCCACTAGAAGACTGCATTGAGCAATTTTTTTTAAATATTTATTTATTTGAAAGGCAGAGTTGCAGAGAGGGAGGGAGGGACAGAGAGACAAAGAAGAGACCTTCCATCCCTTGGTTCACTCTCCTAATGGCCACAACAGCCAGGCCTGTGTGGTGGAATGAGAAGGCCGTGCCAAGATGGCCACTGGCAAGCAAGTGTCAGTTACTCAGGAATGGCTTCAGAAACCACCTGGCAACAGAGCCTGCCTGGCAACAGGCTGTGATTGGTTAGGGCATAACCTCCCCTTGACTGGATTGGCTGCCTCGGCTATATAGGATGCTGTAGCAACTGAAATAAATGAGTCTGTGGGCTGCTCACCTCTGGCCCACTTTCACCTGACTCCCGGGGTCTGTGTGGTGACTCCGCGCCTCTTGCCCACACCACGCTCCTCCTCTCAGAACGAATCCACAGCAACAGGCTTGGGACAGGTAGAAGCTAGGAGTCTGGAACTTGGGGTCTTCCATGTGGATGACAGGAGCCTAATTTCTTAGGCTATCTTCTGCTGCTTTCCAAATGCATTAGCAAGGAGCTGAATCAGAAACAGAGCATCTGGGACTTGAACTGGCACCCACATGGGATACCAGTGTTGCAGGCAGTGGCTTACTCTGTTGTGCCACAACTTGGGCCCCAGCAATATTTCAAAGTAGCTTTCTTTGCAATCCCTGGAAAGTCAAGGAGTCATTGTCAGTCCCCTAAGAGGGCACAGAAATATGGACAGTTGGCTTGATGATACTTCTCAGATTTTATGACTACTTTTCAGTTATTAACTGGAAAGTAACATGACAGAAGAGGAATTCCATGTGAAGAAAAGTGCAAAAGCAACGTCAGCACATGACAATCCTTGCCCTATCCCTGAAGTAAGGATGCTGGAGATTAAAAATCAGAAGCCAGAATGTGGATTTGGCTTAGAGGATAAGACACTGCTTAGGACACACACACCCCAGTCCTGACTCCAACTTCTTATTAACACACAGGCTGGGAAGCAGCAATGATGGCTCAAGTATTTGGGTTCCTGCTACCTACATGGGAAAATTGTATTGAGTTCCTGGATCCTGACTTTGGCTTGGCCTAGCCCTGGCTATTGTGGGTATTTGGGGAATGAAGCAGCAGATAAAACCCACCCCCCCCTCTTTCTCTCCCTCTGCCTTTTGAATAAAAATAAATTACAAAATTAAAAAAGATAAACATCAGAAGCAGAAAAATTTAGCAAATGCACATGTCCAAATCCAGATGAGTCTGCCTCCTGTCCAAAGAGAAGCCAAGACCCTGAACAAAGGTTCACATCCCAGAGCACACTGAGCTACCTTTTGACCTTGACACCAAGAGCTTTCAGTGGCTGAGTTAGGATCCAGTGAATTCAACCAGGATTTGGGATTTTGTCTAAGGAGCCAAGGCTATACTGTTTCATCTGTGAGGGCCTGAATGTTTCCAAAAGTTCATGTGTTGAAGCTTAACCACCAATCTTATTAAGAGTTGGGAGCTCTGGGGGATGATTAGGCCACAAAGATTCCACCCTGACAAATGCATGTGCTTCCTTATAAAAGCCCTTGAGGGAACTAGCTGGCTGCTTTTTGACTTCTCTGTCCTTTGCATCTCTTTCTCCAATTCAGGATACCGTGTTCATCACCTCCAGAGGGTGCAGCAAGAAGGGACCACCCTGTAGGCATCCATCAGCTCTCACCAGACACCACATAGCTGGCACCTTGATTTGGACTCTCCAGCCCCGTAACTATGAGACAGAAATTTTTTTATTTATAAATTATCCAGTCTCAGGTATTTTATTGCAGCAGCACAAACTGGTGAAGATTCAAATTTAGTACAGAGAAATGGGGTGGTGTTGATAACAAATATGGGGAAATGTAGATGCAGTTTTAGAGCTGAGAGATGGGTAGAGACTTAAGCTGTTTTTAAGGTCATGCTAGAAAAAGTCTAGATTTCAGTGTTGAAGTCAATCCTGGTGAGGGCTCAGAGACAGAGCTGCAGTCTTCTTAGAAGTTATATAGGTGGTTTTAATTGTAATATTGGTAAAAATATGGAGAGAAGGCCATTCTGATGAAGCCTTAAATAGAAATGAGAAGTATCTTACTGGGAACTGGAGGTAAGACCATCTTTGCTACAAAGCTGGCAAAGAACTTATCTGAACTATGTCCATGTCCTACTATTTTGTGAAAGGCAGAATTTGCAAGCAACGGACCAGAACAAGTATGCATAGATTTCAAAAAATGTTTCCCACCAAATGAATTATATTTTAATTCCAGTTTCTGTGAACTTTTTGAAGTGCCTTCCTTCATTTGGCAAAAGAATTCTCCAAGCAAAATGTTCAAGGTACTGTGTTTCTTCTCTTGATTACTTATGGTAAAATGTGAGAGGAGAAGAGAATTAAGCATTGAATTCATAATTCAAAGGGAAGTACAATTTAAAAAGAGTTGGAAATTTTTTTAACCTGGCCGGCTTGTGAAGAATAACATGGCTTATTCTGTAGAGAATATTAAGAATGTGGTCAAGCACACATTTGATAAAATTAGCATGGATATAAGGAAAACAGATACTATTCATCAAGGCAGTGGAAGAATGACCTCAAGGGTACCTTGCAGATCTTCAAGGCTACTTCCTTCACTGCTGCACCTTGAGTGCTGAGAGGTTGGGTGTAAAATCGTTTCAGGGCAGGAGCTCCAGGGCACCAGCGAGACCTTGGGGCTTGCTGCTCATGGTTGCTTCATGTCTCTGGTGCAGGGCTCCTTGACTGCCCCAGTGGTGGCTCAAGAGGGCTCAAATTCAGCTTTGGCTGCTGCTCTGGAGGATGTAAGTGGTAAACCTTGGTGGCACACAGTGGTGCTAGCTCTGTAGAACACAGGGTGCAGAAGCTAAGGGGGTGTGGCTTTCTCCACCTGAAATTCAAAGGACTCTGCAGAGAACCTTGGGTCCCAGGCACAGAACTTGCCTGGGGATGGGCTACCTCAGAGCAATGCCTAGAGGAGCTGTGACATCAAGGTGACTGCAGAGACTTCAATGTTGATGCTGGGATGAGTCAAGACTTTTGGGTCATTGGGAAGTAACACAGGAATAGTACCAGGGCCTGAAAGCTATGGTCTGGACACCTCCCCAAATTCCTAGGTTGATATTTAATCCATAAGTGCTAAAATGTTGCTAAGAGGTGGGGCCTTTTAGGGATGATTAGGTCAAGAGGGATCCTTCCTCCTGAGTGGATTTTTGACTTATCAAAGGGTTCAAGGGACAGGCCATCAAAGAAGGAGGCACCTTTCTCTGAAGGGAGGAGAGAACTTCCACTTTGATTATGGCCTTGTCTAAATAAAGTTGCAGTTTGTGAACTCAAGAGGCTTCCATAGCCTTGGCAGCTCATGACAAGAGCCTCAGGTGGTTACTGATGTCATAAATAAGAGTGTCAGTTGTTAAATCAACAACAGGAGTCACTGTGTACTTACTCCCCATGTAGGATCTCTGTCCTTACTGTGTTATACTATGTGAATTAATGATAAAACTTATCTTCAAATAGTACTTCATGCTTTGTGTGTCTGTGTGGGTGAAAACTGTTGAAATCTTTACTTAGTAAATACTAAGTTGATCTTCTGTATATAAAGATAATTGAAAATGAATCTTAATGAAGAATGGGATGGGAGAGGGAGTGGGAGATGGGATGGTTTGTGAGTGAGAGGGAGGTTATGGGGGGAAAAAACTGCAATAATCCAAAAGTTGTACTTTTAAAATTTATATTTATTAAATAAAAGTTAAAACAAAACAAAACAAAAAACCACAAAGTGTTCAAGGAAACTATCTAGCCATCTGTGGCCTTCCACCTTAAGAAAGGCATCAGCAGGCTTTGAATGTGGACGCTTTGATCTTGAATTCTCACCCTGAACTTTTGGAAATAAATTCCCTAAGGTATTTGGTTACAGCAAAAACAAACAAAAAACTGTCTGTGGAGCTTTGAATTTAATTTGTAATCAACCAGTCATATTTAAAATGGTTAATGTCACATTTGGCTTGTGGCTACCATATTGGACTACAGAGATTGGAACATCTCCCTTTTTGCAGAGAGTTCTACTGGATGGCACTGTTTCAGGGCCCTTTAAAGCTAAGGAAGACCTACCTAGCGGGGATTGGGTACAGTGTTGGGGAAGACTTCAATGGCTTTGATAAAAGGTTGCTTCTTCTTCTTCTTCTTCTTTTTTTTTTTTTTTTTGAAAAAGCATGTTGAAATGTATTAGAATAAGAACCTATAAAAATTAAAATATAACCTGAAACTGTTCAAGTTCAGAAAGTCTAGTTAAGTCCTTTTCTCTTGCTGAGAGAATGCCATCATCAGGGACTCGGGTCACTGTCCAGGGAGGGGTGGAAAGGAAGAGACAGAAGCAGCCACAGTCCTTCCCTAGACATAAGTCCTTGGCCTCACCAACCCCACAGCCGGGGGGCATGAAAGAGCCTGGAATGCATGTGGTGGCAGACAGCCTCTGTGAGCAGTGGAGGAGCCGGAGGCAGCAGGAGGAGCAGTCAGTAGAGGACACCAGACTGTAAGAAACCCCTTCTGTCCACAGCCCCCGCAGTCCCTCCATCTATGCTCAGATCCCCATGCTTAGGCAGTCCAGCACTCCTAGCTAGTGGAGACCAGAGCTGGGTTAGTAAGGCTGAAAATCTGCAGGCTTAGTAAATACAGCCCAGTGTCACATCCCTCCATGGCCTGAACTAGCGCAGCCAACAGGGAAAGGCAGGAGAGGGAAAAGAAGGGCATGGATATCTAGCTAGAGATCGCCTGTACCATTGTGGGAACCATGGGTACATGGGCTGCAGAAAGAGTACCTTCCTCACTCAGAGGGGGGCCTACTCCACAGCCATCCCTATGGGCCAGTTACAGCTGACTCAGGCTTGTAATCAGCCTGACAAAATGGCAGGAGCAAAAGGAAAACTGGGAGGGAGCCAAGCCCTCACACAGAGAACCTCCTAGAGGGAAGCCAGTCAGTGTCCACCTATTAACAAGAATGGCATCCATGGAGCCCCTGAGTCTGAAGGGAGAACCTGGGAGGGAGGGAGTGGGGCAGGGGAAGGAGTCATGGCTTTTCTGTAATAGTACCAACAGGGTGGGGAGGCGCTGGTGAGGAAATGGGCAGGTCTAGATCTCTCTGCAGGTAGAGAGGGGGAAGAAATAGGTCCTTCGTGTCTCCTCCCCGCCTGACCAGGCCTGGGGAGTACCAGCTGCCCCATCCAGCCCTAGTGGTGGCTGAAGATGAGACTTTCACTTTGGACATCTTGGTGGGCTGCTTCTGCTCAGCATGAGGGAAACACTCCCTCTTGGCCAGCTGCTGCTCCATTTCCAGGGCCGAGAAGGACGTGGTGGCTTTGAGCGTCTTCTTGATGTTGGTAACCTCTTCTTCCACCTGCTGCTGAGCCCGGTTGTGGTTCTCTTTGTACTGGCTGGCTCTCAGGACCTGATGCTCAATGCCAAGCAGAACCGCTTCACAGCCATCACACTATTCATGCAAGGTCTTAACAGTGTTATTGCTAACCTTCTTTCGGATGTCATGGCCAATGCAGAAGTCCACTTGTGGCAGTTGGTTTTACTGGTCCAGCTTGCCCTGGGTGATGTCAGTGTAGACAGCCTCAATGATGAGGTCTTCCAGTTCCTGGAGATTCTGCATCCCCAGGTCTTTCAGCAGCACAGTGTAGGGAATGCACTTTATTCTCAATGTCAGGCTCATGATGGTCAGATATTTCAGCTTGTTCTGCTGGGCTGTGCTCAGTTCTGGCAGGCTCTCCTTGTTGGCTATGTAATCTCCTTGTTTGCCTATGGAACAAACAGGTTTAGCCAAAAGGTTGCTTCTGAAAAGCAGTTTTAGGCTCCCTGAGCCTTCTCTCCTGGGATTTTTCTCAGGTTTTGACTCTGTTCTGTTCCTTCACACTAGTCTACGTAGACCACTTCCTGTTTGTGACTTTGCTGCCTTGGTCTGGACAAGTTTTTTAATTAAAAATAATCTTTTTACTTTTATGAAAACAATTATGTGTCCAATATACATTAGCAAAAATAAAGTGAAATGACCATATTATTAGTAACACACAAAGCTTGCCAGTGTTGACACTTCCTTCTTCTTTTTTAAGAAATCTTTTATTTAATAAATATAAATGAAAATTTTAATAAAAATTTAATAAATACAAATTTTGAAAGTACAACTTTTTGATTATAGCAGTTTTTCCCCCATCACCACCCTCTCACCCACAAATAATTAAATACATATACTTAACACTGACAACCCTTGTATGTCAATAATTTTATCAGATGTTATTTAATGATTGTTTTCTTATTCAGTCATTCCTTTTATATATTTTTTTTTTTGACAGGCAGAGTGGACAGTGAGAGAGAGACAGAGAGAAAGGTCTTCCTTTGCTGTTGGTTCACCCTCCAATGGCCGCCGCGGCTGGCGCGCTGCGGCCAGTGCACCGTGCTGATCCGAAGGCAGGAGCCAGGTGCTTCTCCTGGTCTCCCATGGGGTGCAGGGCCCAAGCACTTGGGCCATCCTCCACTGCACTCCCTGGCCACAGCAGAGAGCTGGCCTGGAAGAGGAGCAACCAGGACAGAATCCGGCGCCCCGATCGGGACTAGGTGCAAGGCGGAGGATTAGCCTGTTGAGCCGCGGCGCCAGCCCCTTCTATCTTGTTAGCTGGCTTTCTTCTATAAGGGTCTGTTTTCATTGGGTTTCCATGAAATACAGTTATCTACTGAAAATGCTGAGTTATTTCCCTTTAGCTGCTGATTTTCTAGGTAAAGAGTTGGTTAAATGGGTGCTTCAAATAATTGCTATTTTTGGGTTCTCTTTATAAAAAATGCAGTTTATGGAGATAATGGCAAATTCACATATAGTTGTAACTAATAATGTAGAGGCACCTGTGTACCTTTCATCCATATGTTTTATATTGATAATATTTTGCAAAACTATAGTACATTAAAATAGTTGAGAAATCAAATCAATAAAATGTGCTTCATTTTATTAAACATTCCAATTTTATTTCTACTCACGTGTGTGTGTTCACATGTATATTTAATTTTTTACAGTTCATCACATGTCTAACTTTGTGTATCTACCACCTCAGTCAAGATACTGAGCAACTTCATCACTACAAGGATCCTGTAAATTGCTTTCTTGTAACCACATCTACCACACTCCCACTCCCATCACCCTCTTTCATTCCCTAACCATTGACTGTCACTAATCTATTCTGCATTTCTAGAATACTCTTGTCATTTCAAAAAAGCTAAAATGTGCATGGAACCATAGGGACAGGCATTTGGCGTGGAGTTATACGCCTCTTGAGACACCTGCAACCCATGTTGGAGAGTCTGGGTTTGAATGCCACTGCTGCTCCCCATTCTAGCTTCCTGCTAATAAGCACTCCGGGAGGCAACAGACGATGGCTCAAGTGCTTGGGTTCCTGTCATCCACATGGAAGATTTGGATTGAGTTCTGACTCCTGGTCAATCCCAGCTATTGTAGGCATTTGGGGAATGAATTAGTGGATGGAAGATATCTGCCTTTCTGTCAGTCTCTCTCTGTGTCCACCTTTCAAATAAAAACATAAATAAATGAAATCATATAGTATGGTATAACTCCGTAGCAATTCATCAAATATGTTGCATGAGCCACTTGTTCAATTTCTGTTTTTTTAAATTATCAGAAAGTCATGACTTCATTGGTTAAATGCATTTAAATCTGCTAAAATCATTGTTATTATTATTATTATTATTTGATGCTGAAATTATCACAACTTTGACATGTGGGGATCACCTTCTAATTTATGCCTGAGACTTTTTTATATGCCTGCATCATTTCTTTTTAAAAAATCAACTTTTAATTTCAGGATAGTTTTAAATTTACAAAAACAAAAAAAGTAGTGCAAAGAGTCCTCAGGGCAGGTACTGTGGCATAGTAAGCCAAGCATCCACCTGTGGTACTGGAGTCCCTTATGGGCACAGGCTCATGTCCCAGAGGCTCCAATTCGATCCACATCTCTGCTTCGGGCCTGGGAAAGCAGTGGAAGATGGTCCAATGCTTGAGCCCCTGTGGCTTCATGGGAGACCCAGAAGAAGCTCCTGGCTACTGGCTTCAGCTCTGGCTGTCGTTGACATTTGGGAAGTGAACCAGCAGATGGAAGACCATTCTCTCTGTCTCTCCATCTCTCTGTCTGTAACTCTACCTCTCAAATAAATAAATAAAATCTTTAAAACAATTAAAACAAAATAGAGTTCTATATGCCCTGCACCCAGCTTCTCTTACTGTTAACATCTTATATTGGTGTTATAGATTTGTCATAGTTAATGAACCACATCAGCTTCCCCTATTTCTTTATGCAAACTCCCTTGATCCTTCCTAATTCCCCCAGCCTCCTGCATCATTTAAAAATGAAAATTATTAAAGTATACTATTACTACCAAAAATGCACAAGTCATAAATGCATAGTTCAGTGAAATTTCAAAAGCTCACAAAACTAAGATCAAGGTAACTGAAATTATCAGCACCCCAAACACTTTTTGTTGTGTCCCCTCTGAGTCATGGTTCCCCATACTTCACTGGCCTGACACTATAGATTTGCTTTGGCTGTTTTTGAACTTAATGTAAAAGGAGTCATGCAGCACATCTCTCTCTCTCTCTCTCTCTCTCTCTCTCTCTCTCTGTATGTGTGTGTATGTGTCTGTGTGTGTCCAGCTTCTTTTGCTCAACAGTATGTTCATGAGATATGTTCATGTCCATCTGAGAAGACTTAAGTTCTTCCAGATTTGGACAATAACTGCTTTTAGAATCTGTAAAGTAGTTACAAGAGAACAGTTGCCCAAGATTCAGAAGTTTTTTAAAAAATGGAGCATGAATATTATGTGGCCAATGTCTTTAAGTTGGTTATCAGACTAAAACCATTCCTCACTGCTCTAACATGCTGAAGAAATCATCTGAGAGGGAGGGAGATGGATGCTCAATTGTCACGTCAAAGGAAGCAGCATTATTCTAGCAACATCCATTCTTGTTTAAGCCTTCCACTGTTAGAGATTTGAGGTTACATGATATACCTTATGCTCATAACTTATATGGATGGAGAATTGGTATTGAATTTATAGCATTAGCAGAACAGATGTTGTGATGTCTTTTTTGCATGCCAATAAAGGAATGACCTGTTCTTGTTCTACAGAGAATGGAAATTGGAAGTCAAACACCCTTTGTATTCCAAAATAGGGTCTCAAACATTTTGTAATTTTCATTTAAATTGTTAGGAAGCTTGGAGCTATTAGTGAATCTATCTTCCAATACACTGTTTAATATAGCACTGAATGAATGATACAAGTTGTCAGTGGATGAGCTAGTAATGGATTACTAGCTCTGCTAGTAATTGATTTACTTTACTTTTCTTCAATAAAGTTGCATAAACCAATGGAAAAAAATGTTGGGAGCCAAACCAAGCTTAGAAGGGTGCATGGAAAAGATTCTCATCCACCCATATGATAAGTTATTCATTGGGAAGTAGGAAGGCCTGGTGTGAACTAGTCTTTGTTTGTTTTTTAAATTATATTTACTTGAAAGGCAGAGAGGCAGAAAGAGAGAGAGACAGATCTTCTATCTATTGATTTACTCTTGGAATGCCCATAATAGTCATGATTAGGCCATGCCAGAGCCAGGAGCCTGCAAATCAATCCAGGTCTCCCACATGGTGGCAGGGACCCAACTACTTGAGCAATCAGCAAAATACTGTTAATACATATTTTATGAAGAAATGTGAACAAAATGCTTTAATATTCAATGCTTTAAACTAAACTGTACTGAGTAATGCTAGTTTCACAATTCTACCCAAAGGTAAGAAAGTTCAATGTTTCTACAGAAATTTTAATGGTCACTGCATAACAGTAATTTTTCCTGTTGATTATTAAGATAGTTTTGTATGCTTGTAGGTTGCATTGACTCTTTTATGGCCACTTTAAAAAATTTCTTTAAAAGACAGAGTGACAGGGCTGGCACTGTGGCGCAGTGGTGCAGTGGCACAGTGGGTTAACATCCTGGCCTGAGGCGCTAGCATCCCATATGGGCACTAGCTCTAGGCCCAGCTGCTCCTCTTCCAATCCAGTTGTATGCTATGGCCTGGGAAAGCAGTAGAAGATGGCTCAAGTTCTTGGGCCCCTGCACTCATGTGGGAGACCTGGAAGAAGCTCCTGGCTCCTGGCTTTGGATTGGTGCAGCTCCAGCTGTTGTGGCCATCTGGGGAGTCAACCAGCGGATGGAAGACCTCTCTCTTTGTCTCTACCTCTCTCTGTAACTCTTCCAGATAAATAAAGTAAATATTTTTTTTTAAAAAAGGCAGAGTGACAAAAAGAGAAGGTGGGGGGAAAAGGGATGGAGGGAGGGAGAGAGAGAGAGAGATCTGTCTGTTGGTTCACTACCCAAATGGCTGCAATGGCCAGACCTGGGCCAAGCTGAAGCCAAGAGCTTGTAATTCCATTCAGATCTCCCACTTGTGTGGAAGGGGCCCAACTGCTTGGGCCATCATCTACTGTCTTCCCAGATGCATTAGCAGAGAGCTGTATGGAAAGCAGAGCAGCTGAGACTTGATCCGGCACTCCAATATGGGTGGGTGCACAGGAGCGCTCACATGGTGAGATAAGAAACAGACAAAACCTAGGCTGAACTTGAACTCAAACAGTAGTCAACCCTCTTACAAGAACCACCCTCCCGTGAGCATGCCCCCTAATGACCTAATGGCCTCTCACTGGCCCCACCTCCTAGCTGGGAGAGTTAGATTAAGCCTTCACGTTTAATCCATCAACAATTAACATTAACATTAAGAAATTAGAGTTTAAATATTTGTGAGTTTTGGGACAAGTTCTACTCAGCCCATAACACTCCCTAATCTCCAATTCGTGTAGACATAGAGTGAAATGTGGATTCCATTTTACCTTTTTGAGTTACCAGGTACACTAACATCACTTCTTTAAAAGATCCATCTTTATCATATATTCCTTTATTGTGTACTACATTCTCACGTATATTTGTGTGTGTTCCTAGGTTTCACTTACATTTCTTGGTTCACCCATATAATTTGGTCCATACTGTTTCAAGTATTGAGGTTTTATATTTCTGTTTTATTATCCGATAGGGCCATTCCTTAACATTTGCTGTTCTTTTTCATGTTTTCTTACCCATTTATCAGCTTGCTCTGTTTCAGGAAGAAATACTGTTGGCATTTTTATTGAGATCAAAAATATAAATTGGCATTGGAGGGATTGACATCTTTATGGTGTTAGAACTTCTTATCTAGATAGCTGGGATTTCTTTTGTTATATTACAAGTCCAGTTTTATGTCTCTAGGCAATATTTGTAAGTTTTCTAAATCAGATTTCTCACTTTCTGCCACTGTAAGAAGCTAGGCGATGCTGTGGGAAATAGTAAAGCCACAGATCTCAGTCACAAAATAAATCAGGCTGTGTCTCTCATGCAGAGGCTGATGCAGATTAGGCGACTTTGCAGTTTGCCTGCCAGCCTAAATGCTTCCTTTTTGTGGCACTACCATGAAAAACGTCACGTCTCAGCTCTGAGGGGATAGAGACAGAATAAGGGTGACTCAACTCTACTCAGATTTTGTCCAATGCAATTAGACATATGGCCTTGCCTACCCCAAGGAGGGCTGAAAATTAGAGTTTTCTTCTTTGCCCCAGAATGAGGTGAGTACCAGGTATAGGTGATCAATTTGTTCCTTTAGTTATATCTTCCAATGAGTAGTTTATGTATGTATTATTGTATCAGTTTTTGTATGTTAATGCTCTATCCTGCCATCTTACTAAATTTTGTACTCTAGTTTGTCAATTGATAGTGCTGGGTTTTACAGATATACAATGATATTATCCATAGATAGACATATTGTACTTCTTCCTTTTAAATTCCTTCCAAAAATTATTTATTTATTTTTTATTGGAGAGACAGATAAAGGAGAGAAAAAGAGAGGGCTCCTATCTACTGTTTCACTTCCAGATGACCAAAATAGCTGGACTGCATTGAGCCACAGCCAGGATCAGAGAACTCCATCCAACTCTCCCATGTGGGTGGCAATATCTCGGGTACATGATCCATCGCTGCTGCTTCCCGGGGTCTGCTTTAGCAGGAAGATGGGGTCAGAAGCTGAAGCCAAGTGTGGAACCCAGGTGCTCTGAATGGAATGTCAGCATCGCTACTGTTTGTCTCCACCTCCAGACCAAACTCTTGCTCACTTCCTTTTCAGTTCTTATACCTGTTGAGTACCCCTAGAACAGTGCTAATTGTGCTAGAGATACTGGGCATTCTTGCTTATTCCTTTCTTTCTTCCTTCTGTGTTTTCCCATCTAATTGGATGTTTTACCAATAGTCACCACTCATGGGTGAATGTTCTCCTCTCCTCCCAAGCAGGAGTCCCTTACAGTAATTCTTCCCGCCCTCAGGATAGATATTTCTATCCAGGATCTGTTGTTAATGCAATGAACTTGGAGGCCCTTAGGTTGAGATGGCTACATCTCCTTGAATTCCTTTACAAGCCATCTGGAATCCAGATCAGAATAAATGGCCATAACCCATGAAAACCAAACTTAAGCTTACCCAACCAATCAGAAACTGCCAACTAACCTCTAAATAGGGACATTCTACCTTGTCTATGAAATATTCTCTTTGTCTTGCTTCCCTTAACACCTTATGAGAGTTTTCCCCTTGTATCCCCTCAGTGGAGCCCTTAATCACTTGCAGTTTGATGCTGCCCTTTTAATGAATTACTCCTTAAAAATTTGATGCAGCTAAGTATATCTACTGAACCCTGGCATGGCCTAGAATTCTTGTCAACCCTTTCTAGAGATATATCACACTTGGAAACTGGGGTGACATCTGTGCCATCCCATATGTGAATGAAACTCTGTTTCTTGCTGTCCTTTCTAATAACACTGGTGACTCAAGTCCCTGTTGATCCAGCTGCATCAGCACAAGATGGGACCAGGATTACTTATCAGGTTATTGCAAGTTCCAGGTGCCAGGAAATGAAATTCCTGCCTTGTTTGTAATTGTAACCCTCAGCATATATTATGTGCTCAATAAATATTTGCTGATTGCATTAAATAACAGTCACTGTGAAGAGAAACCTGGTGGCCTGGAGACAGTTGCTATGGTATTTGGAGTGTGATCTGGGTGTCCATCAGATAATGTGGAACCAAGAAGCTTTCTACAAACACTGAAGTGGGTTTTTGATGCTGAGTTGACCTCGGTTAGTAGTCACAGGCAGTAATCTCAGTGGCTGCATATTTCTTACCAAGTGCCTGAGACCAAGACAGGGAGGTGAAAGGGGAGGCCTAATTTAGTGATTCTCAAAGTATGATTGCAGAACCAGTAGCATCAGCATCTCCTGGGAACTTGTTGGAAATATAAATGTGGGGCCCTACCCCAGAACTATGAGATCAGAAACCTTGGGGTAAGGTTTAGCATTTTGTATTTGGAGAAGGCCTCTAGGTGCTTCAGATGGAGTCTCAGGTGTGAGATGCATGTGGCCGCAATCCAAAGAGGACTGAGGGGGTGAGCCAGGTGTGGAAAGAAAAAGGCATCTGGCCAGCATCAGAGTACAAACATACAAGGGGAAGGTCTGAGGTCTCCAGAGTAAAGTGCAAAGGAGGGATCCCAACCCGGAGAGGACTGGAAAGAGTAAGGTTTACCTGTACCTGGGTGAGAATTTGGTACACTGTAACAATGGACATTAGGTGGAAGGACAGGACATAAACCAGGACTTGATTCTGGGCTGTGATGGAGCCTTGTCTCCAAAAAACATCGTGACCCAATTCTTGGAACTGAACTATAATATCAGGGTGGGTTAGTTGTACATGTGACCTAGTGTTTCACCTGAACCAGGTAGCATGGGTTTGAGGCTGGGGTCATGGGCAGAATTCTAAGGGTTCTTTTTGATGTACACACAAAATTTCCAAGTTATTCAATCAAGCATAAATCAAGGCACTTCTGTAAAGTTATGAAGGTTCCAAATTAGTTGGTTTAGATAAAGGGAGGTTAGCCTTGGTGGATTGGACCTAAGCAGGAGGGCCAATTAAAGGGAGATGGACTCTTGCTGACAAGAGACCGGAGGGTGAGAGGGATCTATCATGAGAGAAATTCCCCATGCTGCTTTGAATATGGAGGGTGCTGATGGCAAGATATGAGTGTGGGTGGCTTCTGGGAACTAAGAGTTGCCCTGGCTGACAGCCAGCTAAGCAAGAGAGCCTTGGTCCTTACAACCACAGGATCTGAATTCTGCCATGACCTATGAGCTTGGTGGAGGGCCTAGAGTTCAGGTGAGAATGTACCAACACTGTGACTCTAGCCTTGTGAAACCCTGAGCAGGGGAACTACTCATACTTTGCTCATACCTGTGCCTTATGCACTCTGAGATCATAAGTGGGTATTGTTCTAAGCTGCTTAAAGTCATCTTACAGGCTAGAAGGAGGCTGCATTTGATGAAAGAACTCAAAAATCCAAAGTTTAAGGGAGAAGAGGATGGCAAGGAAGTCAGTACACACCCTGCTAATATATCCTTGCCTCGGTCACCATATTTGAAGCTTCCTGGTAGGAACTGGTAACCCTGAGTTGCACCCTCTGCCAGGACCAAGGACCAGCCTGAGCAGGCCAAACAGTCACCACAAGAAGGGGAAGGAGGGAGAAGAATCAAGAGACATTATAGAAAGAAGTAACAGTGTGTGAGCACTATAATGGGGAATGTAGTCTAAATGCTTTTGCTTGACATTTAAAATCTTCCATGTAGTTCAATTCTAAACAGAGTTTCTGAATTCTCTCCTGTCACTCAAATCTTGTGCCATGGTCAGCCTGGTTTATCCACCATCCCAGGAATGAACTGTTTACAGACCTAGCTTTTTTTTTTTTTTTTTTTTTTTTTTTTGGACAGGTAAAGTTAGACAGTGAGAGAGAGACAGAGACAGAGAGAAAGGCCTTCCTTTTCCGTTGGTTCACCCCCCCCAAATGGCTGCCAACGCTGGCACACCATGCCGATCCAAAGCCAGGAGCCAGGTGTTTCTTCCTCAAACCTAGCTTTTACCATTGCTGGTACTTTCCACATCCTGGGATTGTCGCTCCCCCTCTTCGTGGAGGAACGACACTAGACCCTGCCTAGGCTTCATATCCGAGTCACGGCACCATTATGTCGCTCCCCGTCTTCGTGGAGGAACGACACAGGACCCTGCGCTGTTCTTTCGTCTGCTCGGCCCTCCCCGGGTTTGCTGCTGGTTCTTCCCGGGTTGGCTACTGTCCCTTCCACCTCCGTGGAAGGGCGGTTCCCCCTGCCACATTCCCCACTTCCGCAGGGGAGCAGTACACCGCCGGCCGGCTCTCTCGGGGGCTGCACAGGTGTTCCTTCAGATAGATGTTCCCCTTAGATGTTCCCCTTAGATGTTCCTCGTGCATGTTCTCTCTCTCCTCCTTTATAGTCCTCCTCCGCCAATCCTAACTCGGCTGCCCACACGCCGAGTACGCTGCTCTCCTCCAATCAGGAGCAGGTCCTGCTGTTTATTGGTTGAACTGGAGGCAGCTGGGTAGAAGCTGTTTTCTCTTCTCCCAGCGCTATATTGTGGGAGAGCAGATGCATAGAATAAGTCTTAATTCCAGTAACTTAGTCTAGTCCGAGTTGCTCCCCACATGGGATGACCTCTTTTCTTCTATAATCAATGATTGACAACATCACTTGACAATTTGGCGACAAGAGAGGCAGGTGTCCTGTCCACCTATTGTATCTACAAATGGAGAAACACCACAGGAAAGTTACCAAAACTGTGGATTTAAAAATTATATTTAGGGGTCATCATTGTGACATAGCAGGTTAAGCAACCATCTACAGTGCCAGCATTCTATATTGGTGCTGGTTCGAGTCCTGGCTCTTCCACTTCCAACCCAGCTCCCTGCTATTTCTCCTAGGAAAGAGGCAGAAGATGACCCAAGTCCTTGGGCCCCTGCACCCATATAGAATACTCGGATGACGCTCTTGTCTCCTGGCTTTGACCTGGTGCAGCCTTGGCCGTTGTGGCCATTTGGAGAATGAACCAGCAGATGGAAGACCACTCGCTCTCTTTGCTTCTACCTCTCCCTCTCTGCAACTCTCACTTTCAAATAAATCTTTAACAAAATTATTTTAAGAAGTCGTATTTTAAATCCAGAATATACACTTTAATTTTGATAATGACATGACTACTAGCTTTATTTTAAAAATATTAATTTGTGGTGCTTGCTGTACAGGTGATGTGTCCTGTAAGGAGTGTATTTGTTCCCCAGAACTTTGGGTCATCTTCTATGACCAAACATATGTAAGAGGCAGTTATAATGAGGACAAGTCTACATTCCCCTCTTTCCCTCCTACTTTGCCCATATACCATGTCCTGGGGTGAGTGGGACATTTGTCCCATCACAGCTCCATTTCAGTGCACAGTGACACCTCTTGTTCTGAATTATTGTTTGACATGCTCATTTGCCCTTCTACTGATAATTAACTTTATTTTTTTTAGATTTGTATTTATTTATTTGAGAGGTAGAGTTACAGATAGTGAGAGGGAGAGGCAGAGAGAAAGGTCTTCTATCTGCTGGTTCACTTCCCAGAGGGCTGTAGCGGCTGGAGCCGGAGCTGTGCAGATCCGAAGCTGTGAGCCAGGAACTTCTTCTGGGTCTTCTATGTAGGTGCAGGAGCCCAAGCACTTGGGCCATCTTCTACTCTTTCCCAGGCCATAGCACAGAGCTGTATGAGCAGAGGAGTAGCTGGGACTAGAAGCGGTGCCCATAGGGATGCTGGTGCCACAGGTGGAAGATTAATCTGTTGCACCACAGCACCAGCCCCGATAATTAACTTTAAATATAGACATATAGATGTAGATATCTGAATTGTCTGCTCAGCTAATTTTTAAGCTTTTTTTATAGTCAACAAATATTTTTTAAATACCTGTTTTGCTGAGACCTGTGCAGGTACCTCATATATTGATTTCTTTTTCTGGGTGGTAGGGTAGATCTATTTTACAGTGGATTTTTAGAAGTTACTTGGTTTACAGCCAGAATTTTGACATCAGTCTTTAAAGTGCATTCAGGTGGACAAAAAGAAACCATATTTTCTAATAAAGTGACATAGAATATTAGATAGGATGTTTAATATCTTTGTTGTGAAATATTCTAATTGCACAAGTCATTTTTGAAATTTTCACAATGTATATGTACAAGGTTAACTGGACCAAGTGTAGTTTGCTTTTCTTGAGCTAGTTAGACTATAGTGGTGGTAAAAGAGCACTAAACAAAACTGGAACTCCTTTCAAGAAGCATTTTTAGTTAAAAATAGAAATGTAGATTTGATCCACTTTAACACAATTTGCAAAGGGGTTTCTCCTTATCAGAAGCCTAGGCTTCACGTTTATGTGATATCCTGTTTTATGCAGAGCACACCATGTAACCAGCTCAGGCTTCAAGAGCTTGTGAAATTAAAATAAAGACATGGATTTCAATAACATCCCAAGTGAGATTGATTGCTGCCTCCTCCCTAACTGACTGATAAGGAACCTAAGAAATGGATGGAAGTTCATTCATAAGTTACATAGGTGAGCCAAAACTTGACCACATCCTCTCCCTCACAGTCTTGTACCCTCTCCACCATACCACATCTGAAAAACTTACTCAGATAAAGAGTATCTGCAGGGAATATGTTGTAAGATCCCCAGTGGATGCTAAAAAACCATGGGAGGTAAAGAGTACTATGTCTGTCATCTATCTATCTATCTATCTATCATCTATCTATCATCTTCTGTATGTACAGATCTATAATATAGTTTGATTTCTAAGTTAGGCACAGTAGGAGATCAATGCTAGCTAATAATAGAATAGAACAATTTTAACAATGGTGCTACAGTTTTAATGATGTAGGCATGCTGTTAGTAAAATTCAAAATACACGGGAGAATGTGGTATCCAGTGATCGATGAAGGCAGGCAACCTTGCACCCTTTGGTCCCAGAGAGCAGAGGCAGAGATCATTGACAAAAGTGAAGGCAGAGAGGAAGCATGGAGAAGGCTGACTTCTGCAATTTGGGACCTTGATTCCAAGGGCCCAGTTAGCTAGCAGTACCCTGCAGGGTGGAAGCTAGAGGCATAAATAATCTGCCACACACCACCTGACCTCCTGGTGTTTCTGCTTGGTCAAACCCAGCTGGGCACCAGAAAGCAATGCAGCCCATTCGTATAATCCATGTGAGTAGCATGAGGGGACCCAGAACCAATTGGAGAGGATGGGGTGCCAACTGGAGGGGGCAGTGGTGGCTTAGTCCATTTTCCATTGCTAATAATACAATACCACAGACTGGGAAAGTTATAAAGGAAAGAAGTTTACTTTGGCTCACAGTTCCAGTCCAAGGTCTAAGGCCCACATCTGGTGATGGCCTTCTTGCTGGCAGAGTACTGAAGTGGGGCAGGTTATCACATGATGAGAGACAAGGAGTGTGTAAGAGACTACCCAGACTGGCTTTTGTGGCACACTCACTCTCACCATAATCCATTAACCTAGTAATCTGTTACTTGTGTGATTGGATTAATTAAATCACTAAGGCAGAACCCCAATCACTTCTTAAAAGTCATACTTTGTTCAACCTTTTTTTTTTTTTTATAAAGATTTACTCATTTTTTGAAAGTCAGCGTTAGAGAGAGAGAGAGAGATAGAGAGAGAGAAAGTCTTCCATCTGCTGTTACACTCCCCAAATGTCTGCAATGGACATTGCTGAGCCTGGCAGAAGCCAGGGGCCAGGAACTTCATCCAGGTCTCACGTGTGTGTGGTAGGAGCCCAAGTACCTGGGCCATCCTCCGCTGCTTTTCCCAGGCCATTAGCAGGGAGCTGGATAGGAGCAGCCAGGACATGAACAGAACCCATGTGGGATGCTGGTGTGCTAATGGCGGCTTTGCCAGCTATGCCACATGGCCTTAAACCAACCATTGCTTTAAGGAAAGATTTATTGCTTATTTGACAGGCAAAGTGACATAGTGGGTGGGGGAGCACAGAGAGAGAGAGCTAGAGAGAGAGAGAGAGAGAGAGAGAGAGAGAGCGAGCTCTTCTATTCACTGCTTCATTTTCCAAATGCCTACAACAGCCAGGTCTGGGCCAGGCTGAAGCCAGGATCCAGGAACTCCATCCAGATCTCTTGCATGGATGGCAGGAACCCAAATATATGCCTCCCAGGAACATCAGCAGGAAGTCTGATGGAAAGCAGAGTGTCTGGGACTTGAGCTGGCCTTCGCATGGAATGTGAGTGTCCCAAGAATCAGCTTAACCTACTGCACCTCAATGCTGCCCCAGTCCTTCCTCTTAATATCTCATAATGGGAATTTAATTTCAACATAGTTTTGGAGGGGACAAATCACATTCACATTATTGCAAATGGAAATATCTAGTCCAGAGGCTATTTATCCAACAGTTGCCCACAAGCCTATAGGCCTGCTATCAGTTCAGGTGAAGCTTGATGTTTCAAAATGATGGTCTCTAAACTCTTGGTACACTTTGCTCTGCCTCAGTCCTCAACTTCTGATCTACCCATCTACTCCAACATCTGTTGAGAAAGCTTGATGTTGATTTTGTGACTTAATGCTTTCACTTTAAATATTTTCTCAAGTAAACACAACCTACAAAAATGCCTAATAACTATGAAATAAATGATTAGGCATAACTAGCTTGTCTCTGAGTTGATGAATACTCTTCAATCTGTCACTCTGATTTGATTAGAATTCTCAGTTGTCAATTCTCACACCCTGTCCTTGGTTGATGGCTCTCCTGCCTTCCTTGTGTTACATGGTTTCATTCTGTCTCTTCCCAATTGGATGAGAAGGGAGACCTGGGCGGGGTGTATCTGAGAACACTGAAGTCTGGAATCACCAACTTTTTCATCTTGATGAAATATATACATATTAAATTTTATATATATAAATATATATTTTTTAAATTTAATTAAATACAATTTAAATTTAATTTAAATATATGAAACATTTTAAAATTTTGCCTTCTTAGGCCCATGCTTTTGGAAGCATTATCTTTGATGCAGCTATTATGTCAAGGAGTCTTTATTTGTCAGATGCTGTGGGTTGTGTTTTACTGTTTTCTGTACATTCAGAGAACATTTTGGCACTTATCACATTTTCTTGCTCTGCATGCGCACTTGTTTCTGAGCTTCCAAAGTTGTACCGATGTAAAAACATCTCTTAAGAAATGATTTACTGTATGGCATAAGCTCCGTATATTTTAATGCTGAGTTTCTAGTTTTAATGAAAGAGAGATGAAAGATGTAGGGTTGAATTAGTGGAGTTGTTCACAGACTGAGCTAAGCTGCAGCTGCTCTTTCAACTTTTCCTGGGACATGGAGTGAACCCTAATTTGGGAACTAGGGGATGCTTGGAGCTCATACTTGATGCCACATAGTGTTAGACGCCTTGACTATGTTAAAAGAACTTGGACTTGGAAAGCATGCTTATGAATGGTGGCCAGGTTTCACCTCTGAGATGTGTTGAGTGACAAGGAATGAAAAAAGAATGGTGTTTAGTTTCCAGAACTCTTTTGCAATTGGTAAGAAAATTTTAAGTTGTGGAAGTGGATTTCCTAGGTTACAACATTGGTATTCTAGTAACTATATAGTCTTGAGTAGACAACCTAACCTTTAATGCTGTAAAAGGGGTGATGATAATGCCTAACTTAAATGTTTGCTATAAGAGACAACTGGGGTAATATTTGTAAAGTGCTTACCAGTGTTTGACACAGAGATCAAGCCCTGAAAAAAATTCACAGATCTTTAAGCAGATAAATATATATAAATACTAGTTTCTAAAGGAAGAAGGAATGTCTGAAGATGTAATGGCCAAAAATTATCCAAATCTGGAGAAAACCATAAACCTACAGATTAAAGGAGCTCAACATACTCCAACCACAATAAACTGAGTATTGTGGCCCCATATATAGGGGCCCAGCATTGTGGCGTAGCAGGTAATGCTACTGCCTGCGAAGCCAGTGTCCCATATGAGTGCTGGTTCAAGTCCCAGTCCTCCGCTTCTGATCCAGCTTCCTGCTAATGGCTTAAGAAAAGCAGAAGATGGCTCAAGTGTTTGTACTCCTGCCATGCATATGAGACACTCAGATGAAACTCCTGGCTTCAGCTTTGCCCCGCCCTGGCTGTTGTGGCCATCTGGGGAGTCAACCAGCAGATAGAAGATATCTTTCTCTCTCTGTAAATCTAACTTGCAAAAAAAAAAAAAAAACTAAACAAATCTTAATAAAATGTAAAAGTAAAATGTATGACAATAATAACATGAAAAATAGGAGAGGTAATGAAAGTATATATTTTTAAAGATTTTACTTTTATTTATTTGAAAGGCAGAGCTACAGAATGAGGTAGAGACACACAGAGAGAGGTCTTCCATCCACTGGTTCACTCCTCAAATGGCCACAATGGCCGTAACTGGGCTAGGTTTAAGTCAGGAGGCAGGAGCTTCTTCTGGTCTCTCACGTGGGGGCAGGAAACTAAGCACTTGGGCTATCCTTTGCTGAGTTCGCAGGCATATCAGCAGGGAGCTTGATTGGAAGTGGAGCAGCTGGGACTGGAATCAGTGCCCATATGGGAAGCCAGCACTAAAGACCAGGGCTTTAACCTGCTGCCAGCCCTGAAAGCATATTGTTTTAAGGTTCTTATGCTATTCATGAAGTGAATGTTATTTGAGGGTAGATTATCACCAGTTAATATAGTCTATAAAACTTAAAGCAAACTTTAAAAAATAAAGATTAACTAATAAACCAACAATAGAAATAAAAAAGAAAAAATAAAAATGCCCATTTAATAAAAAATAGTAAATAGAAAAAAAGAGAAAAAAGAAATAAATGGGGCAACATATTCCCATGGAAAATATAAACTTATCAATATGAATAATTACATAAATGTAATGGTCTAGACATCTTAGTTAAGTGACAGGGATCATCACACTGGATAAAGAAAATCAAGACCCTTAGTCTACTAACTTTAAGATGACATAAACTCACTTTGAAAGACTCAGAAAGAACAAAGTAAAAGATGGAAAGAATTGTATTTTAATGGTAATTTTTAAAAAGCTATAGTGTCTATTATAATTAGACAAAGTGAATGTCAGAGCAGAGAATGAAAAGGATCATCACATGATAATGAGAGGCTCAGTTAATCAAAAGAATACTGCAATCCTAAATGCTTATATACCTATTAACAGAACTTTAAAAATATACATATACAAAAAATATATAAAATTTGAAACTCAGGAGAAATAGATGATATGCAATTAGAGCCAGAGATTCAACACTTTACTCTGAGTAAATTGAATCCACCGATATGTAAAGCACATAATACGTCATGGCTTAGTGCATTTTATTCCACGAATATGAAAACAGTTTAATATGAGAAAAATCAATGTAATTTGCCACATTAGCAGACTAAAGGACACACTGTATTGTAATCTCAATAGACTAAGTCAAAACATTTTTAAAGTTTATCCATCCTTTTTTAAAAGATTTATTTATTTATTTGAGAGATAGAGTTATAGACAGAGAGAGGAGAGACAGAGAAGTCTTCCAACTTCCAACAATCCCAATCCGGAGCTGGGCCAATCTGAAGCCAGGAGCTTCTTCTGAATCTCCCATGTGGGTGCAGGGGCCCAAGCACTTGGGACATCTTCTGCTGCTTTCCCAGGCCATAAGCAGAGAGGCTGGCTCTGGCAAAGCCCTAGCCTACTACACCACAGTACCAGGCCCCCAAATTTTTACAAATAATGCACCCATTTCTCTGAAAAACTTTGACAAAGTAAGAACTGAAGAGAACTTCCTCTAGCAAGTAGAGCTACGAAAATTGTATAGCTAACATAAAAAAAAAATAAATACACAAATAAACTACTAGAACTAAATAATGTAAAATACGGGGTTTACATTTGGCCTAGTGGTTAAGACTCATTAAGACATCCACATCTCTTATCAGAGTACCTTGGTTTCAATTCCAGCTTCAGCTCCTGACTTCAGCTTCTTGGTAACACAGACCTGGGAGGCAGTTGATGATGGCGCACGTATTGGGTACCCAGCACCCATGTAGAAGACATGGAATGAGATGCTGGCTCCTGACTTTGGCCTATTCCAGCCCAGGTTGTTGCATGCATTTGTGGATTGAATCAGCAGATGGGAATTCTCTCTGTCTATTTGCCTGTTTCTATGCCTCTCAAACAAAAAAAAATTAAATTATAAAAAGAGAAATGCAATTTTAAAAAAGTAAAATACTATAACCAATTTGGGTGAGTTTGCAAAAAGCATTTCTTAAAATGTCAAACATACATCTGCTATAACCTTCTGACATTTCTTCCCTAGGTATTTATCAAAGAGAAATGAAGGCCTGTGTCCATACAAAGACTTCTATAGAAGTGTCCATGACAGCTTTATTTGCAAGAGCTCTACACTGAAAGCAATAAAAAAAGTTCATCAGCAGGTGAATGGAGGAACAATCTGTGGCCCACCCATAAAAAGGAATGAACTGTAGATCCAGTTCATCATTGATGGGTCTCCTAACAAGTATGCTCAGTTAAACATGCTCGATAGCAAAGAGTATATTCTGAATGACTCCATTTTTGTTAAATTATAGGGGAAAAAAAAAAACCCAAACATCTGGAGATCGAAACAAACAGTGGGCAGGGGGAGATAAGCTTGGAAAGGAAAGGAAAGCATGGATCCCATCCTTTTCGAGTACGGTTACATGTATCGTGCTGGTTCTGTGCAGCTTCACAGTTGTGTAGATACGTCAAAACCCATCAAACCCAAATGTCCCCCTTAAATAGATGCAGTTTATTGCATTGCAGCAATACACTAACAGTGTTAAAAACTTTACCAGCCTCATAAAAAGAATGAGTACTGTCATGTTTTCCATGCTTGCTCTTTTAGGAAACAATTTTGCTGTCACCCAGTGAATGTTCTACTTCTTTTCTCCCTTCTTATTTTTGTCAAAAATTTTTATTTTGATATAAAAACATATGAAACTTAACTTTTTATACAGTCAGTGCTAACTAATATTAACATTTCTGGGCCGGAGTCGCGGCTCACTTGGCTAATCCTTCACCTGCGGCGCTGGCACCCCAGGTTCAAGTCCCGGTTGGGGTGCCGGATTCTGTCCTGGTTGCTCCTCTTCCAGGCCAGCTCTCTGCTGTGGCCCGGGAGTGCAGTGGAGGATGGCCCAAGTCCTTGGGCCCTGCACCCGCATGGGAGACCAGGAGAAGCACCTGGCTCCTGGCTTCGGATCGACGCAGCGCGCCGGGCATAGCAGCCACTTGGGTGAACCAATGGAAAAAGGAAGACCTTTCTCTCTGTCTCTCTCTCACTGTCTAACTCTGCCTGTCAAAAAAAAAAAAATTTCTGGAATACAAAAGAGATAACTTCTAAAAGAATTGTATTTAATTTTTTAGCGTATCTTCCAGAAAGACTGATAAAAGTTCTTAATATTTGCATTATTCACAATTTTCATTTTACATGCTTTTAATGCTAGTTTTGGAGGATATAGGATGTTAGCTTGAATCACTAGTCACTCTCTACATCCTTCCCTTCCTCTATTGCCTTTTCTTTTAAAAAAAAAAGATTTTTTACTTACTTATTTGAAATGCACGGAGACAGAGGAGAGCAAGGGGAGAAAGAGAAAGAAAGATCTTACAACTGTTGGTTCATTTTCCAAATACCCACAACAGCTGGGACTGGGCCAGGCCAAAACTAGGAACCAAGAACAGCATCTGGGTCCCCCACATGGGAGGCAGGGACTCAGATACTGAGGCCATCATCCACTACCCTTCCAGGTTCATTAACAGGAAGCTGGATCAGAAGCAGAGTAGTTAGGACTGGAACCCACACTCCAATGTGGTATGGCTTACCCCACCCTGTTGGGGACCACTGCATGGCTTGAATTCTGCTGAAGGCATGCATGGCTGGATTGCAAAGGTGATCAGCTGATGGACTTCAATGGAAAAACAGTTGAAATGATGCCAAAAGCAGCTAAGGAAATGCTATAGGCTCTGACAAACACCGAGTGAGATGTTTGTCCCTATTAATAAGTAGTCTCCCTCAAGGTTCCTCCACATTCTGATTGCTTTCTTAATTCTAGTTCCTAAGCAAATATCTTTCATGTAAACATTGAAATTCCCATGTTGTTCCATATTTATCTACACTTTATTTATTTTTTAAATATTCATTTATTTATTTGAAAGGCAGAGTTACAGAGAGGCAGACAGTGAGAAAAAGAGAGAGAAGAGAGAGAGAGGTCTTCTATCCTCTGGATCATTCCCCAGATGGCCACAATAGCCAGAGCTGCGCAGATCCATAAACCAGGAGCCAGGAGCTTCTTACGGATTTCCCACATAGGTGCAGAGGCCCAAGGAGTTGGGACATCTTCTACTGCTTTCCCAGGCCATAGCAGAGAGCTGGATCAGAAGTGGAGCAGTCGAGTCTCAAACTGGCACCCGTATGGGATGCAGAGACTGCAGGTGGTGGCTATACACCTGCTATGCCACTGAGCCAGCCCCAAGGGTCTTCATTTTGGTTTGGATTAATTCCTCATCATGAACTTCTTACTAATGACTGCAAACTTTAACTGTGTGCAGTCTAGAATTTCTCCTGCTTAATTAGCTCACCCCTCGCCTTGACTATGTACTTCATAGATTGCTGACATATTTTAATTTCATGATTTCTCACTGTTCTTGGGTGGTCTTTCTATCTTTATCTTGTTAAAGATGTTATTTTAAACTTTCGTTTCAGGTTGTTTTCAAATTTTCATTTCATCACGAGTGAAGTCATTGTTGCATTCTCTTTGTTAATATTGTTTTCTGTATGTACTATAGAATTTTATAGTGTTACATCAAGCAGGAATATTTGTTTTTCTTCTCTTTCCCATTCTGATCTTTCTTTTGGTTCAGAAACAGATGTTATATTGGAAATTTGGGGCCACTTTCCCATAATGATGCCAACAATATTGCAAATCCAAAGGCTATGCTGGTGTGTGACTTTGCTCAGGTCCTGCTTCCTTGACTGCATCTTCTTCCTCCAAGCACCCCAAGCATCTAGCAGTACAGGAGCCTCTGTTAGTAGATGGGGAGAGATCTACCCCTATTTGAGGTCATTGGCAGTGGGTCAGGCTGTTTTCCTTTCTCCTTGGCTCCAGGTGCCATGAAGAAGTGATGGAGCTGCCTCCACCAGACTTTTGACCCAGAACCCAGGAGCTTAACAGTTCAGCTCCTACCCAGTGTGGTGCTTAGTTGCAGATAGGTTCATTACTTATTACATAATTATGTCTTTTAAATTAAAGTGCTTTAAATATTGTTTACATTTTGCATGTTATTAGTTTGAATGTGAACACAGACTCATAATGATATTTACTGAATGCCTAAGGCAAGCAAAAGGGATACGGTTCCCACTTTCCTAGGGTGCTCTACTTGTTAAGGCAGAAATTAATTGCACCAATTAACAAATAGTTATAAAATGAAATAAGTGCTGGGATGGTAAAACAACAAACCACCAAGCAAAAAAGAATTTTCTATGAAAGCTATATTAAAGAAACCTAGCCAGACAGGGGAACCTAAGCAAGAAGGCATGTTGAAGTAGGCCTTTGGCTGTCATGAATAAGAGGGGAAATCAGTAACTAGCTTTCTAGTGTAATTGATTTGTCATGCTTCACTAATGTGAAGTGAAATGTTTCATTTTAGTGACTTTTAAATTCTGATCAGGGACCAGTGTTGTGATGCCGTGGGTGAATTTCCAACCTGATGCTCTCTTCCCACACAGAAGTGCTGGGTCCAATTCTAGCTGCTACCCTTCTGATTCCGCTTCCTCCTAATGCACCTGGGAAGGCAACAGCAGATGACCCTAATACTCCGGTGTCTGCAACCCACATGGGAACGTGGATGGAGTTCCTGGCTCCTGACTTCAGCTTGGCCTAGCACTGGCTATTGTGGTCATTTGGGGAATGAACCAACAGTTGGAAGATCCTCTCTCTCTCTTTCTTTCTCTGCCTTTCATATAAATAAATCTTAGAAAAAGGAAAGAAAAGCCAGCGCCGCGGCTCACTAGGCTAATCCTCCGCCTAGCGGCGCTGGCACACCGGGTTCTAGTCCCGGTTGGGGCGCCGGATTCTGTCCCAGTTGCCCCTCTTCCAGGCCAGCTCTCTGCTGTGGCCAGGGAGTGCAGTGGAGGATGGCCCAGGTGCTTGGGCCCTGCACCCCATGGGGAGACCAGGAGAAGCACCTGGCTCCTGGCTCCTGCCATCGGATCAGCGCGGTGCGCCGGCCGCGGCCATTGGAGGGTGAACCAACGGCAAAGGAAGACCTTTCTCTCTGTCTCTCTCTCTCACTGTTCCACTCTGCCCGTCGTAGGCGTATCGACATGAAAAATTCATTAATTAAAATAGAATGATGGATACTGAAAGTACAAAAATAAAAGCTGCCTTTCTGGTGGTGACAATCTCCCTATCAGAACATACCTAAATGAACATAAAAATATAAATAGATGCCATCAAATTCTGTGAGATTCCCTCCTTGCTAGAATATCTACAAAGACCCTGGACAGTATGTAGTCAATCACACAAAATTCAGTTTTTGTCTAATCTGAAGACATTCAGGTACAGTAGATGCTCAACTTGACAAATCTTCATCTGCTGCTGTTTCAGGGATATTGTAGGCTACAGTTTCAAGAAGCGTTATTATATCAGGCTCTATCTGCCTGCTCCTCCTCTTGTAGCTTGGTGTTTCTTTGATGAAATGTTCTATGCCTACCATTTGCTATAGCAGCCATGACTAGACCATGCTACAGTTTGGGGAGATGGCTGGACAATAACTTCAGGCATGGGTTAGTGGCTGCCAGCTTATTTTATGAGACTATGCACAAAGGAGTTGCCATGGGATTCCAACTCTCAAAAGTTTCTACCTTTTTTGTGCTTTATCAGACAAAGGATGATTTAACATTAAAGTTGTCTCCATTAGGAGACATTTAGACTTGTTTTGTATTTGGAGTAACTCCCAAGCAGAACCCAATTATGTGATTCCTGGAGTTTTAGAAAAGTAAAATTCCAAAGCTTTTCCAAGAGGCTTCAAGCTTGAGACAACACATGTACCCAGTGAAGAAAAGCTTGAGGTACACAAAGATGAATAGCTTCAGTTTCCTAGTTACAGAACACAGTAATAAGTACAGAAGAAGGGATTATTTGGTACATTATATTAAAAGGTCCCTATGCATCAGTGAAAGACAACCAAAAGATAAAGAAGAAATTTAAAACAGAATGTTCAGCATACATAAAATGAAGCTCAGACTCTCTAATACACAAAGACTTAACACAAAATGAACATAAGATATTTTACCAAATATCAGGGCAAAATTAAGTGATTAAAATTATTCAACACTGGCAAGAGGCTGGAGGTGTAGGGGCTGAGGGAAGATGGAGCCTCATTGCTGCTTAGCCTTGAAGTGTCTCCTTGAAAATACTTAGTTTTCATTACCAAAACCTGTTGAGTTCTGCCTGAAACTGTTTCCCTCACCTTGCTGAAGAAGACCCTAAGAGGACCAAGCACCGCTAATCCCAGGGAGTGTGCAGGGAGACTCAGCATGCTATAGCTGGCCAGGTGGGCGAGGGCTGCTCAATGCCAGTGCTCTCCCTAGATGGTCTGAATTTAAGAGGTGATGGGGGGCCAGCACTGTGGTGTAACAGGTAAAGCCTCCGCCTGCAGTGCTGGCATCCCATATGGGTGCCGGTTCAAGTCCCGGCTCCTCCACTTCCCATCCAGCTCTCTGTTGTGGCCTGGGAAAGCAGTAGAAGATGGCCCAAGTGCTTGGGCCCCTGCACCTGTGTGAGTGACCTGGAAGAAGCTCCTGGCTCCTGACTTTGGAATGGCACAGCTCTGGCCATTGCTGCCAATTGGGGAGTGAACCAGTGGGTGGAAGACTTTTCTCTGCCTCTCCTTCTCTTTCTGTGTAACTCTTTCAAGTAAATAAATAAATCTTTAAAAAAAAAAAAAAAGAGCTGATGGAAGAGGTAGCACAAAGCAACCCAGCAACTTGCAAGGCAGTGAAGGATGAGCCAGCAATGTTGCAGAGCCAGTCTGTAGTCAGGCTTATAGAAAAGTTTGTGTAGATTGTAAGGAGATAAAATATGGCTCTTGAGGGAATTCTTAATTAAAAATGGATGTATCTCATGAAGATAAGGCAAGTTACTATTAAGTAGAAAATAGTTCAGAAGTGCACCCTGAAAAGTACATTTGAAAAGCAGAAGTGTAACTAAGGATATTCAAATGGTCGATAAGCATTCAAATTGATGCTTGGTTTCATGAGTAATTGGAGAAATGTAAATCAAAACAGAATACCAATTGGTACTTGGTATGAATCCAGATTTCTCTCTCTTTTAGATAGGGCCCTCACTCTCCTATGCATTTCTCACTGAATAAAAAGCTTGAAACTTAACAAACAAAACAAAACAAAACAGAATACCAAAACTACAAAAAGACCAACCACATGAAATATCTGTGAAACATATATAGGTGAGAGTCCAAATTAGTACAAATTCTTTTTTAAAAAAAGATTTATTTATTTGAAAGAGTTATAGAGAGAGAGAGAAGGAGAGAGCAAGGTCTTCCATTTGCTGGTGTACTGCTCAAGCCAAAGCCAGGAGTCTCCCATGTGGATGACAGGGGTCTAAAACTTGGGCCATCTTCTGTTGCTTTTCCTAGGTACATTAGCGGGAAGCTGGATTAGAAGTGGAGCAGCTAGTACATGAACAAGCACCCATATGGGATGCTATTATCACAGGTGGTGGCTTTACCTGCCATGCCAAGACGCCAGCCCCTCCATAAGCTTTTGAAACACCCTTGTATTTGCAGCAGCCAAAACATAGAAATAATCCAAACACCCATTAACAGTGAAATGGAATTGTAGTATTTCCATACAATGGGAATATAATAAGGCAATAAAATAATAAACCACGTCTGGAAGCAACAGTATGGATAAGCCTTGCAAATAAATGTAGAGCCAAATAGATGGTAGAAAATTATGTTTCCATTTATGTAAAATTTCAAAATAGGTAAATGGATCTATGTTTTTTTGTGTCGCAAGAGCGATTACAAGGAGGTAAGGGGAGAGAAGAGCTAGTTACAGGGGAGAAGGGCATGTATGGGAGTTTTGAGGTCCTGATACTACCCTACATCTCTATTTGGTGGTTCATGAGTCTGTTTGCTTTGCAGCAATCCAATGAGATCCACACTCAGGATGTGCTGAACTCTCGTGCATGTGTTGTACTTGATAAAGGAAAGCTAGGAGGCAAAGAGTATGCTCACAACATGCCTGAATATGAAGATGTCATTGCCAAGCTCCCTCTAAGGATGAGATGTTTGCACTGCCTCCCTGTGGAGACATGGCACTCCTGGCCAATAATATAATTGCATGCTTTGTTTTGTTTGTTTGTTTTCATTCTTAAGGCAATGGGTGGTAAGTTCTGATTTTTGGTGTAGAAATGGTTAAAGATAATTTATTCATGGCATTTTGTTATAAAGCTGCAAATTGTACATATTTTTTTAGGAGAGCACAGATGTCTTGATAGATGCAAAATAATGACAGGTATGTAACGCAGGCCTCCCTCAGGAGGATAAGGAGAGGGGGAAACGGGGAACTTGCTCTACGTGGCAGACAGTGAAGCTTCAACATGTCAGCATTTTGTGTCACTCATCTGCTCTCAGCCTCAAGTCATTTTCTGTCACCTTGAGAATAGAACGCTAAGCCTGCATGAGACCTCACAAGTCTTGCTGCTCATCCAGAAATCCACCCTGTTCTCATTTCAAGGCACTGCACTCACTCTTCCCTACATCTAAAACATTCCTCCATCAGATAATTATGCAGTAGGCCTCATAGCTTGGTTGAATGAGCGGATTTATGGGAACATGGTTCTGTGCATTTCAGTAAAAAAAGACAAAACAAGCTCCCATAATTATAAGTATTCAAAGATTTACACTCCTTCTCTATCTTCTCCTAAGAATCAATCTTTGTAGTTCAAAGCTTGCATTCTGGGGCTGGCCCAGTGCTGCGGTGGGTTAAAGCCATGGAGTACAGTGCCAATATCCCAAATGAGGGCCAGTTCTAGTCCAGCTCCCTGCTAACGCTCCTGGGAAGGCAGAAGAAAATGGCCTAGGTACTTGTGCCCCTGCATCCATGTGAGAGACCCAGAAGAACCTCCTGGCTCCTGGCTTCAGCCTGGTCCAGCCCTGGCTGTTGCAGCTATTTAGACAGTGAACCAATAGATGGAAGATCCCTCTATCTCTGTCTCTCTCTCTCCCTTTCTCTGGAATTTCACCTTTCAGATAAATAAATCTTTTAAAAAAATCTTGCATTCTACATACCTTTTATTTCATTTTTGGATATGTGAACAGCAAAGGAAAACATACACACACACAAACACACACACAGAGAAAGATATCTTCCATTTGCTGGTTCACTCACCAAATGCCCACAACAGTGGGGAGGGAGCGCTGGGTCAGGGTATAGCAAAGGCCCAGGAACTCAATCCAAATCTCTCATATGAGTGGCAAGGACCCAACCAGTTGAGCCTTCACCTGTTGCCTCCCATGGTAGGCAGCAGCAAAACTTGGGAGCAGAGCTGGGATTTGAACCCAGGTACTCTCAGATGTTTGTCTCAAGCAGTGTCTTCACTATTGTGGAAAATACCCACCCCCTTGGATCACTTTAAAAAAGATTTATTTATTTAAGCCAGTGTTAGAGAGGCAAAGGGAGGGAGGGAGAGAGAGAGAGAGAGAGAGAGAGAGAGAGAGAAAGATCTTCTATCCACTGGTACACTCCCCAGACGGCTGCAATGGCTAGGGCTGAACTAGGTGGAGAGCCCAGGATCCAGCCGGAGGAAGCTGAGGGATTGAGAAATGGCAGCAGCTAAGCCCGTCAATGCTATGTGCAGGCTCTGACTTAGTAAGGACTTGGTGCACCTTCACATGCTTACTTCTTAAACAACCCGAGGAAATGCACAAGAGGACAGGCAGGCAGGGAGCCTTTCAGGAGTCAGGAGCCTCTTCCTGGTCTTCTGTGTGTGTGCAGAGATTCAAGGACTTGGGCCATCTTCCATTGTTTTCCCAAGTGCATGAGCAAGGAGCTGAATCAGAAGTGAAGCAGCAGGGACATGAACCTGTGATCATATGGGATGCCGGCACTGCAGGTGGCGGCTGTGTGCCACAGTACCGGCCCCTGGATCACTTTTTAAAAAGCTTGATTTTTTTTGAGTAGTTTTAGATTTCCAGCAAAACTGAGTAGAAAGTACAGAGATTTCCCACACACCCTCCTGCCAGTGAGCAGCTCCTCCCCTAACTCCCCTCTAGAATGGTGCAGTTGTTACTGCTGGTCAGCCCACATAACATCTTCAAGCCCCTGTTTCACATTATGCCTCACTCTTGGTATTGTGCCCTGAGTTTGGACAGATATATAATGACTTGTGGGTAACTCTCTGAGTACTCAGGTTTTACCGATGTGTAGAAGAAAGTCGAGATAGTAAAAACGAATAGGAAAGGGTTCTGCCAACAGTTCTGCCTGTGGGACACAGCCTCCAGGAAAACAGCCCCTACCTGGTGACCATGACGATGCTCACAGCTAGTGAAAGACCAGTGTGAACTGGGGCAGGTGGTGGAGAGCCCAGGATCCAGCCGGAGGAAGCTGAGGGATTGAGAAATGGCAGCAGCTAAGCCCGTCAATGCTATGTGCAGGCTCTGACTTAGTAAAGACTTGGTGCACCTTCGCATGCTTACTTCTTAACCCGAGGAAATGCACAAGAGGACAGGCAGGCAGGGAGCCTTTCAGTTTCAGTCTACAATAGCTGGGATTTCACTCCTGCAGCCTGGTCCCTGGCTCACAAGGATTAACCTCAGCAGGAGCCTGACCTGGGACTGGGGCTTGGAGGGGGGACTAGGGAGGCCCTAGGAGGAGGGAACAAGGCAGAACTCAAACATCAGGCAGACATATGGATGGAGCAGCAGCGCCCTCTGCAGGGAGCGTGGAGCTTCCGTTTTTCTCAGTCAACAGGGGTTTTCCCCAGGTCCCCAGTGGCTTAGGCTCCACCCTGCCCTCAGTCCCATACCTCATGGGTCCCAACCCTAGTCCTTCTCAGAAGCTTTGTGCTGAGCACACATGCGGTGCCGCAGTCAGAGCCCATAGGCGTTTACAATAGCATCCCTGGTTACCTTACGCAAATGCATCTCAGAATTTAAACAAAATTCTTCAAAGCGTGAAAGCTGTGAAGAGTCAACGACACAAGCTTTCATTTTTCACTATTTGTTGAACACTTCATTTAATGGAATATTAAGCCTCTGCCCATGATGTAAATTAAAAGTGTCATCTCTAAAAATAATAAATGAAATATTACATTGAACAAAGAGCCAAGCTTTCAATAATGAATTTTCATATTGAAGGCAGGCAGCGTGAAGATGTTTGGGACCAGAAGCAGTCCCACATGGCACCAACTCACCCTTCTTGGACAGCCACCCATTCTGTCAGGGACCTTCTGGGTGCCAGCACCCGTGTGGCTCGGTGTGAAGAGAAGACAGCGCATCCCACTGCCCTTTCCTCTGCTCATTTCCCAGCCTCCACTGCTCCTTCCTCTCCTGGACAGTTATGAGGCTTCTTTTGGGTCCCCGATTCTGCTCTGGGCGTGAGGGGCTATGGAACTGCAGGAGGGCGTGACGCTGTCCCTCCCCAGGAACAAAGGGACTCTCGGCACAGGTGACAGGTGGTGAAACAGGGTGGAGATGACTGTCAACCATTCCCAGTGTCTACAGGGCTACCCCAGAGTGGGAAAGAAACAGCTCCTACACAAACAACAGTGTTTGATCTGAAAAAATACTGTCTGCTGGTGAACTTGGTTTATTTCCTAAAACATATTGTAGCATGCATATTTACCCACTTACATATAAGGATAATTGCATTACTATTTTCAAGGAGGATCAAGGACAATTACCCCTCACCAGCTCAAGGCTGGAGGCTGGGTTCCTGGGTCCCAGGTTTGTTCCAGGGGAGAGAATTGTGACTTTTATTTGCAAGCTAGGCACCTCCACCAAACTTCTCACATCTGACCTGAAGACAGGTTTTGTTTGACTCACAATGGAACAAACTGCCAATGTTAAAAAATAAACAAACATTTGGAATATTATCTTAAAAAAAAAAAAAAACTAGGTGGTGTTTGGAAAAGTCTGATGACCCGAGGCTGGCCTTTCCCAAGGAAACAATTGGTTAAGGCTGCAGGGAGACTTCATATCCCCACGTGCCATGGGTCCACCACTCCTTATTTCTCCTGGCATGGATTTCCTAGGGCCAATTGCTGTTCATCACCTTCTTCCCCAGCTGCTTCACTTCCACTGCTTGCATTAGGATCAGATGGTAGATGGGATGGGCTTGGTGTGGGTGCTCTGTGAGGGCAGGGACCTGTCACCACTTGCCCTCATCAGAAGGGTCCTCTAACACAGCATGGCTGTGCAGATGTCCTGGGATCCCTGGAGGGTTGGACTTTGGGGAATGGACAATTAAAAACACTGTGGCTGTCTCGCAGAATGGAACACACAGGCCTGGACAATGAGGATCCCATGGGCAACCTGCTGGCTGCAGACCAGAGACTCATCCTCTACTTCACTGATTTGCTAAAGTTTTATATTTGAAGAGGAAAACATTGGTGAGGGTCCTGGGGAAATGACTTAGTGGATAGGATTTGAGATGCATGTAATTTCAATTACAAAAATCAAGAAATGTTACATGTCCTATATCTGTGTGTTTCCCAAATGGTTTTTTTTTTTTTTTTTTTTGACAGGCAGAGTTAGACAGTGAGAGACAGAGAGAAAGGTCTTCCTTTTCCGTTGGTTCACCCCCCAAATGGCCACTACAGCTGGCGCCCTGCACGGATCCGAAGCCAGGAGCCAGGTGCTTCCTCCTGGTCTCCCACGCAGGGCCCGCTCAAGCACTTGGGGCATCCTCCACTGCACTCCCGGGCCACAGCAGAGAACTGGACTGGAAGAGGAGCAACCGGTACAGAATCCGGCACCCCACCCGGGACAAGAACCCAGGGTGCCGGCGCCACAGGCAGAGGATTAGCCAAGTGAACCACAGCGAGTAGTCATGAGTGCCTTGTGTTTGGGAATTTGTTTTATAAAACATTCACAATATCTTTTGTGATTCTATGGTGACCAAATTCATTCATTCATTCACTCAATTCATTCATTCATATATCCATGTGTCAGATGTTGGCAAATCCATCATAGACATGTTGGAAGGGTGTACAATGTGTTTAGCACCAAGTTCTTTCAGCTGTTGCTGGGGACCTGGCTGGAAGATAGGAGACTGGAGTAGAAACAATGTTGACTGGGAATGAGAAGTTTGGGGTTTAAGATCCTATATCCATCCTTCAATTGCTGGGCGACCTTGGGGCAACTACACCTTCTTCATGTGTAAAATAAGACAAAATGATCTTAATTTTAAAAAAGTCTAATTCTGAAATACTTTGCTAAAGAAAAGAGGTATCTGCCTCTGATGTAAACACAGGTTTCCTTACTATATGGGCACCGTTAGTGCCCTTAATAGGTTTTGGTTTTTCTTCATGTATCTGATTTCCAGAAACTGCTGCAATGTGTTTACTTATCTAAGATTTTATATCTGAGGAATGAAATAAAAACGTTTTTGCAGCCTCAGCTGGCACAGAGGGCAGCCAGTGTGGTTACTGGGTTCTGTCAAAAGCAGCATGTTCCACAAGACCCCGAGCCTAGGATTTGCTGTGGAATGGCGGGTAAGGGCCTCACAGAAGAAGAGACTGACTCGAACATCATGCAGGTGGGGGCATGGGTTTATTATGTCTATATACAAGTAAGCATTTGCCGAGGTTCTGTCGAAAACAAGGGCCACAGGAACAAAGTACTTTAGCATGAAAACGAGAGAACTGCCATAGAACAAACAATGAGCTTGGAGACGCTGAAAAGAACACGGAACCTGAATCGACGGCTTTCAGGCTGCAGAGGTAGCCAGACCACCAAGGCGACCACGGGGTGCAAGCCACACGTGACAACACAACACCATCCACGAGGCGGTTTCCCACTGCGGGACAGAGGGAGGAGGCTGGGGGTCGGGGGTCACTGATGGGGGAGGGTATTAAAATCGCATAAATCCTCCGTATCGTTTTTCCATCTCAGGGACCTCTTTGGAGTAACCGTCGCCTTCTTCGTCGGAGGGCAGGGCCTCGGCAAAGCGCTTGAGAAAGCCACCGTAGCGCTTCTGGTAGTCCATCCACCACTCCGGGCGGCCCACCCTGCGCATGAAGCCCCCATAGCGCTTCTGCAGCTCTCTCGCTTCGTCTTCCAGCTGGGGGCTTCTCTTGACGCCTCGCATGAAGCCCCCATATCTCTTGCTCACCTCTTCCTCCCGGTCGCTGCCCTCCTGCTGGTGGCCACCTTCGCGGTTGTCCCCTGTGGCCAGCAGCTCTCTCAGGAGGTCCGAGGAATTGGCCAGGGTCTCCTCCTCATCCGCACTCTTCTTCATGAAGCCCCCGTACCTCTTGCCGAAGGTCTCGCCGGCATTGGCCTCGTCTTCCGGCTCCCCGGGATAAAGCTCATCCGTTTTCTTCATGAAGCCTCCGTACCTTTTCATGAAGCCGCCGTACTTTTTGGCCAGCCAGTGGCCGTCGTCTGGCCGGCTGCCTTCGCGAAGCGAGCTGGCGGTGTCCTGAGGAAGCTCGGGCTTGGTGGCCTGCAGGAGATCCTTGCAGGTTTCCCAGATTTTCAGAGAGGGCAGCTGCCCTTCACACTCCAGTGTGCAAGCCTGGGGAGGCAAGGGGGTTGATCACATGAGAAAGAAGGGGTTGCTGTGGGTTCTTTTCAGCAAACGCCTGTGGGTGGACCCAGGTTCCCTTGCTTTGATGAAGGAACTCCTCCCCCCTCCCCCCCAAAAGCTCATCTCCATGGTCTCATGGCAGCTTTCACTCACTGGGCACTGGGAAGGAAAGGGAAGGGGAAGGGGATGGGGAAGGAGACCATGAAAATCAGAAAGAGGATGCTGAGGGGCCAGGGGATTAACTGAATCAAACCGGAAATCTGTCTTTGGGTTTTAAATCAACGGTGTACACCGTGCCATTTTAGATTGGACTAGCTGTTTTCACAATCTGATTTTATCGGGTAATTCCTCACTGCTGATATCATGGTGCAGGAGAGTTTTCTAAGTGAAAGGGAGAACTCTCTGTTCAGCTAGGAACACTTCCTCAAAATTCCTTCTATCTTCTTGTCTTTTCGGTAGAATTAATATCACTAACATGATTCATTTGAGTTCTTGTGTTAATATTGACCTCGACTACTATCCAATATTCCTGCCAACCCTTTCAGCCATCACAGAAAAATAATACTTTCAAAACAAGTTTAAAAAGAAAGACATTCTGGAGACTCAAATTTTATGAATTATTTGGATTGTGATTCATTGATTTTTCATGAAAGTAAAGTTGTTTTTGTGTTTTCCCCCTATCTCCTTGGGTGATTCAAATAGATTTTTATCATTTTGAGCCACATATCTTTAATTACAAGACATGGAATTATACATACGTAAATATACACATTATTCGTATTTATTTTCTTATCATTTAGCCACAGGCATACAGAAAAAGTGCTTTCCAATGAAAATCCTGTTATTTGATAGAATTGCGATGATTAGTTACACAACTGTTTCCTTTTGAGTATCCCATAATTATTCTCAAACTACTAAAAGAATTAGGCTATATGCTCCAATGATCCTATTAATGTTTTATTCTATTCAATGAAATCATGGGTATAATAAAGAAGTACTAAGATTATATGAACATTTATGAAGTCTATGCGCTATTTCTTTGCATTTCAGGAGTTTTTGGAATATACTTAAAAAACTCAGCTGAAGACCCTTGAGTTAGGAAGAAAACTCAGGCCCTTTATTGGTATTTAAAAATATATGGGTATATTCTTTGATATTAAATACATGCATAGCTTCACAATGAAAGACAGAATTTTATTCATGCAACAAAATACCTAGAGTACATATTTAGCCAGCTCTTAATGATTATTTAAGCTTTGTGTCTAAGAAAATTAAAGGCATAAGTTTGTAAAAAGATAATCTAATTAAAATGGTCCTGTTGCATCCCTGATATCTGAATAAGGAATCAAACATCATTAAAAGCTTAAGATGTTCAAGGGACAACAATATTTCCATTCTAAAATGATATTTAAATAATCTTGTTGCTAAAAAAATTAATGGACAATATTTTTCATACTACCACCAAAATGCTTCTAATTGTGTATGATTTAGGATCTCTTCAAAAATAACTAGTGAAAAAAAATCAGAATTATACACTCACACTAAATCAGGGATGTTAACTTATAGCTCCTATAGCCATTTATGTGTCTTCTCTGTGTATTTATTGCACCCTGAGTTCCATGGTCAAAATCATAATAGATGGAAAATTCTATTTGGATACAAGTCATGTTATGCCTACTCATCTTTGCATCCATTATGGTACCAAGCACAGGTGTCTTTCTGGTGGTAGAAGCCCAATAAATACTTGTTACATGGATTTTCACAGTGATCTTTTTCCTAGGCAACCTCATTTCTCATGTCTGTTGCATCCACACTAAAATTCCAGAAGTGCCATAATTCTAGCAACACAGTCTTTAACTAAACATCTTGTCATGGAGAAAATAACAACACTAGTTGTTAGCACCAACACAAAACACATCAGTTATCTAGCATTCAAAAAGCCTTCCTAAGAGACTGTTTTATTTTATTGAGGGTGGCTTATTGTTTACATCCTTTCAAGTTGCTTATACTACATCTGCCATCGTCTGTATTGAAATTAATCATAAAAAGCCACGACAATAAAACATAAAAAGCAGTGAGGTAAACTTTGCAAAGAGCCATTCTCTCTGCATTCTCCCATCACTTGCCCCCACCATCCCTTTAAATGATGAAGGGAGGGCGAGAGGAGGGAGAAAAGTCAGAATTTTCAGTCACCCCTAGGGAAGAGTTAGCTGCTACCCAGTGAATTCTGCTCAAATTCCCCAACAATAGAAAAGGAAAATTAGTAGCATTTTGGGAACTTGGTGAAGCAAGCAGATTGAACCCCATTAAAGGCATGGGAATGAGCATTGCTAAATATCAGTCATGTCAGTTCACTGAATCTGATATTACTTTGAGGTCAGATTGTGTGATTTGAATACAAATTGTACTAGAGCTCACCTAACCTTTATGTAGATGTCAGTGGGCACTAGGGTAGGGGGTTGAGCCACATGCTTGGCTAGGAGAGCAAAGCTCAAGATAGTGTCACTGTGCAGAGGCAATTATGGTGCCAAACATGGGGTCTCCTGTGCACTATGTTAGGAGTTTCTTTCTGTGTCTAAAATTCTTTCCTCCTAGCATCTGTCCTTATGTTTGCAGCACTTGCTCAGTTTTTAGACATGGTTTAAGAGCTCGTGACTACAGAAGAAAGAAAAATATGGCTAGAGGAGATTGCTTGCTTCTAAGATGGAACGTTTCTCTCACGGTTCAAATATACAATCCTATCATGTGCCTTCTCTGTAAAGCCAAGCTAACACACATGAAATGAAATACATCTGGTAACTCACAGATTTGGATGAGCAAACGTTTAACCTGCACTAGAGACCGTGGAATCTGGAATCCTCTCCTTCATTGTCTTCTCCACACAGCATAAAATGTCTTCGAAGGCTCAAGTGAAGCTGCAGTCAGCTTGATTAATTTGCACACTCCTCTCTACCGAGCTTTAAAGTCCTCACAGAATTTCAACAGCAGTGCAGAGAAATCGTTAGGGGAGCAAGTTAAAACGAAGCTGCCCAGGTCTCCAATTCTGATTCAGTGGGACGCCAGAGAGGACTCAGGAGTCCTGGACTCTGCTTAGCATCAGAACCCCTTTGTCCTCATGTGGCACCCCTAAGCCCCTGGCAGTATACTTTATCTTTGGACTACTGCCACCCCTTTGGACACTGGCCATCTCTGCCTGTCCTTGTCACATCCCGATTAAACTGCGGTTTTAGTCTTATCATAAAAGTGCAGTCAAGACAAACACAAGTTGCATCCCTCCGTCATTTGCTTTTAGAACAATTACTGACCTCCTTTGTCTCCTATCAGCTGATTTTTTCCTTCGGCTCCCCGGATCCCCTTTCCTGCCTTTTGCCCTCTCTCCTGCACAGGTGAGGCAAGGGCATGAGGGACCTGAGGTTGAGAGAGCCAGACCAAAGCAATCCCCAGAAAGGCGATGAAATGTCGCTAACAAAAAACTTACATTGTTGAGAAGGGATGGGAGGTTGGTTGCGCGTTAGGGGCTCCTGACCTGGAAGTGTTGGGGGTCGCAGTGAAAGCGTTTCTGGGGAGAGAACTCGAGTCTATCCCATCTGCGTAAGAGAGCACATTTCCAGGCTCCCGAATCTCCCAGAATTAAAACTTGCTTCGTGTGCAGCCACTGCCGCCTTGAGCGGTTCCTAGATAGTCGCTATCTAGTTCTTCTGGAACTTCGGTTCCAGAAGCTGATAGCCAGGGAGAGACAGCCGGGTCAGCGTTCCGGAACAGCGGGAACACTTGGGCCACCAGGACTTCTCACCAGGGGTTCTTGCACGAAATCGAGTAAGCGCGAGACGCGGCGCGCAAAGGGCCCGGGACTGTC